ACAGTAACATGACAACACTAGATATGGTTTGATAGAAGGGAATGATGAATACAACATACACAAGGATACTCTCTTAAGGCGCTTTATTGCAACATTTGGAATTAAAGACAACACCTTCTCATGCTTTTTTAATTATTTCCTTCTTTAAAAATAGTAATAGCTTTCCCATTTGTACAAGAATTCCTCTAAGCAAAACACATACTTCATTTTTCAAAAGGGACTTAGCTACAGGAAAGTAGCTACACTTAGACAACTAACCTAAAAATAGGTAATTCACCAGAATCTGGAATGAACTTACAGTAACAAGAAAGAAAAATAACTCACAATTAAAGCTATTTCATATATTTATCTTCTTATTGATCTGTTGAATAGAAAGCAACAAAGGCAAGTACAAAAGATGGAGACTGACATAAGGAACCTTTTTAATATAAACAAAAGCTAAAGGTTTCTCTTGTGCATCAGACCAAATCCAACACCACCGATCAGGAAAAAGGCTCGAGAGCCATTGCCCCAAATACATGAAGATCGGTTTCCAAACTCCTGCCTTCCACAATTCAGCATCCCTAAAACAACCAACTTGAACGCCCTCTTCATGACAAGAGACAGAACTAAACCAACATTTCTTTAAGACATTGCCTGAGATCTCCCAACAACCTTCCCAAGCTACGCACAAGGAGCAGAAAAACTCTCTGTTCACAGCTCTGAATGTTACTGGTCCCACTTTTAGACCATCTCTCAATTTCCATGATTAAAAGGGAACACTTGGACATCAGCAGAGTCCAGACCAACAAGAACATGGAACGTGCTCTTTACTACTGCTGCCCGGATTTAGGATCAGGAACAGATGAACATAAGACCCACCAACCTCACCCACCAACCCACTGACCCACCAACCTCACCCACCAACCCACTGACCCACCAACCTCACCATCTATACTCCTTCCTCAGACCATGGCTATGACTGAAAATACTTATCCTGAAAATTTTTGGCCTAACATCTAAAACAGATCACAAAATGCAGTGAAAAATGTGCATGTTTTAGTAAGTGTTGTAAGAACATAACTGAGCTGATAGCAACGGCATTGTTAGTTTCTGGAAACTTGAACCCCTCTCTCCTCCAAGAGGAGTTTTAAACAAGTTCAAATGAGAAGTAGAGAAGCACTGGAAAAAAAGAGGTGTTGCTACTTACTTATGTAAACAAACAGTTTTACTGAGTGTCTTTCAATAAAGCAGCTGCTGAGCATTTGCTCCGTATCATCACCACTTGTGAAGGGCTGAGATTTGGCCTCCTAAGCAGGTTTAAAAAATGCCAGGGATTGAGACAAAGAATGGTATGAAGCGTTTAACTGCGGATGATGTGCAACATATTCCTTGATAGCAAAATTCTCAACCCCGTTTCTTCAATCATGCTGTAGGTTAGAAGAGTAAGATTCCATGAAAGCCCTGTTTTAGTAGCCTAATTAAGATACTACTTTGTGCAAGAGACAAAGTGAARGGCTTTAAATGAGATCTCGTCACTATTTCCAGCATGTAAGAACGATAAGCGAGAAAGCAACCACAAGCCTCGCATTGCCATGCAGGTGACAGACCCGGASACACTGGGGAGGTGACAAAAAGCCAACAAGCTCCTCCCTCACACATGCTTCTAATTTATTATGTAAAATAAAAGGAATAAGAACCACAGAGACTTAGCCTAAATGTAACCCACTCTCACAACATATTCTATGCAAGCAAACTAAAGAGGTTAGAGAAACAAGCTTTCCCCCAAGTAATTACACAGAAGCTTTTACACAGAAGATTGCTATTATATAAACGCATTTTAAACTGTTCTAGAAAAATTCTTTGAGCAGTTCTTGAAGTCTTTGCACTATTAGGCAATAGTAAGGACATATATTGCCTAAGCGAAACATAAAATTTATATGCAAAAGTCAGTAACAATAGCCAYGAATATTACAGCAATTGTTTTGCAAAAGATTTATTTCCCACAAAGATTCTCACCATAAACTTCAGAAAAAAAGAGCTTACCTAAACTACATAAACACCCACTCAGCATTAAAAGTCCGGAGTACTATCTATGATGGGAAGTGAATAATGCTTTTGGAAATGTGGATTTTACGCCTCCAATCCCTTGCAGTTTGCGTGGCTGTGGAGGCGAGGGGCAGGGCAGCGGTGGCGGCTGTCCCGGCACCGGGGCTGGCGCAGGGACCCCGAGCTCCCCAGCCCCGTCCCTTGCCCCGCGCCCGCCCGCTGCCCCCRGTACCATCCTGGGGCCATTCACAACCAAAGCACGCTCAGATCAAAGGGGTTTGTGAGGAATCACTGCTGTACCTACCGGCTTCGGAGGTGCAATTCCACAAGGCATAGTTTCTRTTTGAAGATGGAGAACTGTATTTTCACCCATCTCAAGGAAGATAAGGTCATCCTGAACAGGCTTACTGTGCCTGCCTTGTTACTTTTTTTTAAATTTTATTTTATTCTGCATATAKTCAAGGCAACAGAACAGAATAAAGCATTTCACATGAAAGGCGACTAATTCCTAATKAATAACCAGAAACTGCCTAAAGGACTCAATTTTTGTGACAATGAAAAAAAAGTGAGGACGTCTATTTCTCTAAAGTATACAAAATGTTATTGTTTATTCCTTACTGTTTGCACTCAAACATATCATACGTAAGCATGTACATATAGGAATCTTAATAATGTCCTGATACACTGGCAGTGCTTCCAGAAAACAAGCCGGGCAGGACTGGCTGCTCTTCCATGCTGGGCATGCAGCGGGACTGCTCTTTTCTCTCTGTGCACTCACATCGCTCTGATCAGAGATGCGCTGAGGCCAAAGCAGGGAAGCTGCCACTCTCTATGGAATAAGCCATTTAGATCTCCCATTCTACAGGGAGAATTCCTCTTGCACTACAGGGTGACAGGACCATTGGAGACACTACTGCTTCTCATACCAAAGAAAAAAAAAAACAGCTTCTTAGGGATGAGTTTTAGGGGCTCATGCAGTTTCAAAGGACAGAGCTTACACAGAGCCTTTCATGCAAGTGAACAGACCAGAGCTAGAGCCTGGAAAAGCAGGTCTGCAGAATATCCACCCGTGCTAGACCCGGGCGCTATTCTTCTGCAATAAGGTAGTTTTGGATCATTAGGAATATTCCTGACTCCATTCATGCAGACAAAGATAAGAATGAAAGCCAATTTCTTTTTCTGTTCAGTGACAAATTACTGTGCATCATAAATCCCAAATCACAGCTATATACCGAAAGTACTATAACATATCGCCATTATTAAACAGTAAGCAATTTCACAGTAAGCAATTTCCAAAGTTAAGATATTTTCCACTTTAAATTAGGAGAGCGAAATGCCATGATCTGTAGCAGAGCACATATGAGCTAAAAATCATAAATTGCTATAACAAAATTTTCATTTACAAATACAGTTTCCCAAGAGACATCAATTTCAAAGTTAACTGAGAATTTACAACATGCTAACTACCCCGTACCAACATTTGCGGGAGAATTAAGTGACCTACTTTACGTTGATTCAAGAGTAAAGATGAATCTATCTGCATAACTTAACTGCAAGGACCAATTCAATATTACATGTAAATTCATTTGCTCCCATGTTTCTTTCTGAGAATCAGCTAGTTCCTCCCACATAAAAAAAAAAAAAGTGCAGTTCTGGAAATAGGGGACTCCAGAGCAAAGGGGTATGGCTAAAATCATTWAAAAAAGCAGCTTCCTCCATCCTGCCCTTCAACACTACTCCAGARGTCTTGTGTTTTTAAGAAAATCAGYGGGTTTTGAGCACCCAGTTTAAGAAGTCAGATTTATATCTCCTGTTTATGTCACTAAGACAGCTATTAAGGTTGACGATTAATGGTAAACAGTTTTAGATGCTTTAATAATGGCTCATAAAGTCACAAAATTAACGAGTCTCTGCACACTTTGCATCAGATAAATTTACTTTGCATTGTARGTGCCACTGGCTGGTCTAACAAAGCAGTCCCACTGCTGAAATTGGTAAGAGCCCTACTTTGCAGAGCCAAGTGTTTGCAGATGAGAGTCCCAGGGCATATATCATTTGCTATTGTCCTTTTCTTCCATTTAAATCCCAGAGTCTTCTGGAAAGCAGAATTCTAAGAAAAGAAAGCATGCTAAATCAGCAGCAATACTCCCAAGGAAGCAGATGCTGCTCATCAAGACTCAGGGAAGTCCTACACGACTCCCTTCAACTCCTGAACAGAACTGCAAGGCATCCGTTGTGCGGAGAGTACCCTCCCAGAGCCTTTATTATTATTATTATTATTATTATTTTAATTTCCTCCAAGTATCCTGTATCTACACATTCACTAACTTTGTCAAAATAAAATACAATTGTTTAGACACTGATGACAGGGTCTGGTTAGTGAATAAGAAGAGTTCTTAATGGGACACAGTTCTCGGAAATTACATCCCAGGAGCATCATGACATCTCCCTCCAAAATGGACTGAAATATTTTTCATGACATTGATATTTCCTGGCCCACCATGTACTTTCCCTCCTTCTCTTCTATTCACATATTGCAAAGGCTTACAGATGTTTTAGCCACTTCCATTACAAAGAGATATGCACACAAGAAAGTGTCAAAGAGAAGGGAAAATCCATATTAATTTATAGTTAGTGTGTTTTTTTTAAATCACCAATATCATATGATTAATTCAAATATAATTTCTGAGATATTTTAAGACTTGTCCCTCTCCTGGTTTCTCCTAAGCACTGAACGGTGTTTGTACACCATATATGCAACACACCACTTGACTCCTACATTRCATCTGTCAGTTTTGCTTTGCTTTTTTAATTTTTATGGCTGAAGAGTCCCTGAAGTTATGTCTTTATAATTGAAAGGTTACCCAGACAAACTATAGGATCGCTATTAGACAATACAAAGCATATAGCTATTTAATAAGACTGGGTAAAAACTTGGGGATGCTGAAACAACAACTGCATTTGCCACTTACTTCAAAGTCTCTTCCAGTTTGCGAATTTTCTTTTGAGCATCCCCTCTTTCTTTATCAAGATCATTCCGGATGCTGTGAATCTACGATTTGAAGGGAAAAATACTGCATTATACCTAAAAAYGTAAGTAATGACATTAAAAGGAAGCATATTCTTCATTAGAAGAATGACAAAAAAAACACAGAAATATGCTTAAAATAATGACATATATTGATGCACAATTCACACTTAGCAACTCCTGAATGCAAAGATAACTTTTTTTATCATTTCTTGTAACAAAAATCTTACCACGTACGACRATAATAAATAAGACTCGCAGAGAATAGTATGTACTCGAGCATTGACCAGCTGAAGGTGAAAACGCAATTTTTTGCAAATAAGTGAATTGCAACTGAAGAACTGATTTACTATCCACAAGGCACAAGATCACACACACAGTACAGGATATTTATATTTCCAGAGGGGGAAAAAAACAMACTTTAGAGACTCTCATGCATAAATGGTTCCATATAGCTGTTAACTGTATGGTAGCATGATCCACAGTTGGTCTGAAACAGTCTCAAAACTGAAGGACTGTTCACCAGTATATAAAGATGGCATTGCTAGTCATGATAAAGTAAAATATATTTAACAGCTGGTAGTGAAATGGCTCTCAGTAATACACTGTCACTGCTCTTTGCTGAACGTTTGGAAAACAAAAAGTAGATTATTTGCAAAAAGCAGGTGTTTCCTGGCTTGTAAAATCATTTAGTCTAACTGTTCCCCATTCAACAGATAAGCACATTTAATCAAACAGTGACATTTAGGGTTACTACCTATTATTTGTTTGATGTTTAAATATCCTAGTAGGGAACAGTCACTGTAGACTAATAAAGATTATTAGATAATGGGAAGGTACTTAAGGGAACAGATTGCACCAGAGAATTCCTTATTCCCTGACTTGAAGATAACCTCTTTTTAGGATTTTATGGGCCAGTCCATACTATTTTATAGATTTATAGCAATAGTTAACACACATGTATTTACTCTTCTGTTCTCTAAGATTTTATTTTCAAAGCACGGAGTTACATCAACATATCTGAATATGCACAGTAATCTACCATATATATATATATATGTATTTTTTTTTTTAACTGATACACAGTCACATGCCTGATGAAATACACTTATCTAACAGGAGTCAAATGACAAATTCCTTCAGTAGTGGCAGTCCCTCTTTCTTTTTAACTAGAGATGATAATAGCAAACCTAGTAGCAGCAGCAGCAAGTTTTTGAGCACTGGCAAAGCATGTCAACAATTAAGAGAACACATTCAAACTCCAGAAGAAAGAAGGCATAAAGTTATATTTTCACATCTTTATCATTTCTTAAAAGCTGATAATTCTCATAGTGAGTGTTTGGTTTCATTATTTGCATATCCTCAGTCTGCGCAAAGTTTATGGRCAGGAGGTGCAGGACATCAGGATTTCAACATCATCGTATCTGCACACAAACTTGGAGAAGTAAATAGTGGTTTACATTAAAACAGTACCTGTTTTTCATACATACGCTCCAAGTTAAGTTTGTCCTGTTGAAACGTGTAGTCCTGATCCTGTGAATAGGAACGCGTATTTTAAATTTTAAAAATCCCTTTTTTTCTTTCATTTCTCTATAACTCACTAATAGACATTTCTTTGGTTTTCAAATATATTTAATACAAATAGTCAAAAAGTTCCTGTAAAAATTCTGTTCATACCCATAATGATCTGTCTAAATCAATACTTTTTATTCAGCCTTCGACACAATATGTAGCTCAGCATATTTTAGCTTGATTATCTAAACATTGCAAAAAGTTTAAAAATTATAAAAAATAAACAAATCAGGGCTCACCCTCAGCTGTTGCTGCCTTTGATGTTCTGACTCTTGCAACTGCTGTTTTAACAGAGACACRTTATGTTCTAACTCTTCAATCACATTCGATGCCTGCAGGGATTTAATCGGAGAAGGAATTTTTGTCTTACAGTCTGAATTATAGATACAAATTTGATCTTTTTAAATTTACCTTCCGAAGTTGCTTTGAAAAATAAGCAGCTTGGAAAAGTAAATTGATCAGTTTCCAAGTCCGGCTATTTCACTTCTGTTACCTTGTTCAACTTCAAAACGTAAGCAAAACCCACAGTAAAATAAACAAACTCATCACCTTGACATTAGCACTTGAAAGAGCACTTGAAAATACAAATTTGTATTTTTTGTATATAGAAAAAAAATGATTTAATAGATTTTCCCAATATGCAAATTTATGGAATTTAAAACATTTTTTAAATAAATAAAGTTTTGACAGAATGTTCCCTACCACAGGCAGACAAGAAAACTTGTTTTCAAATGCCTGAGGAAAGATATGTTTCCAGAAATAATCTGCTAAATATGTTTTATGAAATCAGCAAGTCTTTAAGTGCACTGGGGTTCTTGGGTATCCTGAACTTTTACAGCAACACAAACAACAAGCAGATTGAACCTCAGCTGAACCAGCCACGAACATACCACCTGTAAGGACACGTACACATTACCCTCCCCTTCATTTTCTCAGTCAACTTGGTTTTGATTTTTTTTTTCCCTCCAATTTTAGAATGAAAACTTAAATCACAGTTTTTAAAGTTATGCAYACAAACAACTTAGGCAACAGAAGAGCTCCCTGGATTTATTCACATGCATTTCACATTTATAACAGTGAAGCGACCAGTTCAAAAATAAACAACTTGTAAGCAAGCATTTTTACGCTTATTATACACGGAAACATACCTTAGCTGCAGARAGAGCGTGTTCCTGTTTCAAAAAACTTATATCGACATCATATTTGCTTTGTAGTTGCTGAATTTTCTCCTCATATTCTTGTATAATACGGTCCCTGTCTTTCTGAAGCGAGCTGTGTCTACAAGTAGTAAGCAAACAGAATATGGAAATTGCTTTCATATTTTGGCATTTCACCTGCTTTGTATCAATTGCGAGGAGCAGGCAAGTCTGACTGTTCCATATGCTCATTGTAATGGAATGAAATGTATATAAATAACAGAAAGATAACATACTTAGGATGTATCGGTCAGTTCCAAAAGCAGTTTTTGCATTAACACATTTTCATGAAAATTTGCTAATGTCAATTAGCATTCACTGGGTTTTTGAAATAAAAAAAGGAGTGCTTGGTTTTGGAAATCCCATACTCTTCAAAGCTAAAAACCACTATTGACCACTGTTTAATTACCTGACTTTCACTTCCTGCAGTTCAGAGCACACTGCCTGRTGGTATTGTTCTGCATCGATCTTCTCCTGAGATAATTTTTGACGCTGTAAATTACTATTTTCAGCCTCAACAGTCAACTGCTGGACACGAGCCTCCAGTTCTTTGACCATCTGGTTCTAAAAGAATAGGTCATTGTTAAGAAACCACCCGAATAAATTAGTGTACAGCCCTGCAGTTACTCGGTAGCCTGGAGCAACAAGGTTCTTTGGTGGTCCGGAGACACGAGAGTTATAATAGCAAAGCTGCAATCAATCATGACAGGAGATTCTATGTCATATATATGTGTGTATATACTGCTGTGTGTACATAGTGTGTGTGTATATATGTACACATGCACACTTTAAAATATGAATGTCTGACACTACTTCTCAGGATAGAGATCAGAGATTTTTCCTGAATTTTTCAATCTAGGAGTGCACTGTCGCTTTTGCAATTATTAATGACAAACCATGCAGGCCTCAATAACTAGTCCTACATAACCTAATTTCTTCTCCTCAAGAATTTAATACTTTTTCCATGGACAAAATAGAACCAAAACATCCTCAGCAGTTCTACCATACTCGTTAAATCGATCAGGTGATTATTACTTGCTAATAAGAGCAGTATTGTTGACTGTGCAAAAGTGAACAGGGAAAGAATTCTGAAATAGCAGCAACAACAACAAAGAAAGAGAGAAAAAGAGAGAGAAAAAAAACAACTAATTTGCAGTGACAGTCTAGTCTTTCATCTTAAGCCCTGCCTTGAACTCTACCTTGTTTAATTATTAAATCAGAAGCTGCTCAGCAAGATCTGTCTAGTTTTGATGGTTCTTAAATTCAATCTCGCTGACAGACTGTGTCCATTTTTCTCTGTATTTACCGGTGCCTATAACATGATCTGAATGCAAATTTTTCAATTCAACATGCTTTAATAAGAGAATAAAGTTTGCGTGCCATTGTCCTTCCACTCTTTCAGTTCTCTTAGACTGATAAAAAGAACAAGATGTTTTATCGAGGAGGCTTTTTCATTTTTGCTAACATTTCCTTGCTTCTGTTTTTACAATTGACATAGCAAGGTACTTCTTACGTGACACCACACCTGCTCCTGAGCTGCACTCCTTTGTGCAGCTTTGTAGCATAAAGGCTCCCACTTGATGTGAGGTTTCCCATGTAATTCTGTGATGGGGGAAGAATTTGGTTCCATTTCAGTCAATTCAGTGGCTGTCACGTGTGAGTGTCTGCCTATGAGACCATCACTCGAATGCAGGACTTYTGGTGGACACATTTAATCTGACATCCAACATATAGAAACACCAGAAAGGGCATCTCGGAGAGATAAAGGGAATTAAATGTTCATCAAAAAACATACAGTTGACTTGATCTGTTCCAAATATTCTTCCTCCATTTTGCTAAGACGAACATTGGTGTCCTCCAGCAGTTCCTGGATATTTTCTGTGTGTTTCTTCTGAATATTAAACTTCTCCTTTTCCATTTCAGCCACAGCATTGTGAAGCTGCATCACAATATATATATATATATATATATAAAATAACATAAAACTACCATTTACAAATATGCTACATGTATATATAGAATAAATGTCAAATGTGTGCCACGCTCTGTGTTGCCCTATAGAATCATATCATTTTCTCATGCAGTAAGTTTGTTCTGACTCTAAAATGTGTAATTTCAAAAACAGAGGGCCTAACTTGCCCAGCTGCATTACAGAAGGCTAACAAAACCTATGTATTTTTGTCATTTTCTGATATTGTTTACATATTTAAACTGAACATCAACAATAGTCATATAAAATTAAGGAATTTCTATCACAGAAACTCTAATACTCTTTGAAGATACCTAAGTTAAACCATTCACTAACATCTCAATTTATAAAAAGATGGAGAATCTTGACTCTCTCTGTTTCATTAGAGGATGGTTATTCCACCTCCTTCCTAAGTATTTTATATCATGCAAAGTTATGGAGCTGTCTGTGAATCTCACCCAGCATGTAGCAACTTGATAAGAATTTTCATCAGAACTGCAAGAATGAAATCAAAATTTAAGTATTAGGGKTTKTTTTTTAAATTGTATTGTTTTTAGAGGGAAGCTTTGCCAAGTTTGGGAAGTTTTTAAAAATAAACTTTTTTTAAAAAAATTTGCAGGTGCATAAGATCTATAGATAGTGATTCCCCAAGGGTTTTTGTAGTACTTATCAAAAAGTTTAATATCTAAACAATGCATGGAACACCTCAGTGCTCAAAGCTGCTAATATATTATCACCAGCTCAGGTTTCATTACCAGAGGTAAATTAGATAACTCTTACATAGCAGCCTGAAAGCTTTCTCAAATAAAAATTGAAAAAACAAGAATATTGCTGTTCCTACATGCAAAGAGGGAGAAAAAAGTCATAAAAGGAAACCTAAGTGTTTCATATTTTCAAATCTCATAGCAAGTTATATCACACAACTGTTTGGATTCAGACCATCTAGATGAAAGTATTTAGGTGAAAGAAAAACACTCAAAAGAAAGTCATATAAAATTCTAATTCTAATTCTAATTCTAAAAATTCTAAAACTAAAACTGTCATCTTCTATTTCCTTTATAATATCAACTATCCATATTTTTTGATAAGATACATGTTCCAATTTCACTTAAATTAATATTGGCATCTTTCTTTGGCTTCTTGTGGCTACACAGGCCTCACCAATAATGATGACAGCTGTAGGAACAGCACTTGTTAGGAACTACAAAGAACAAATCGGAGGACCTCAGGCTGAGARCACCGCTTTTCTAAAATCAAAAAGCTAACCCTGAAGCCCCAAAGTCTTCTGCAAAAAGAATGAGATTTATTTCTCTTACAAAACAAGAAYGAAAAGTAAATCACTTCTAGATGGACAGCAAAAAAAATAACAACAACAGCAGAGAAGTTGAAGAGCATCCAAGAGAGGTTTTGCCCTTTTTGTGACTCTCCTGCCTTCTCTTGAGGGGTAAAGGAGGCAAAACCAGGCAATACCCTGGGCAAAGCCACAGCAGTATTGCAAAAACACACTCCACTTTGCTGCTGTCTTGAGTCTAACTACAAATAAAAATACACTGAAGAGTTRACGACCCAATTCAAAAATGATAGCTCAAAGAAATCACTGGCAGCAGGTAGGAGCAGGTTTATTTAGATTAAAATTCCACGTCAGGTCAGCCAGGAATAAACACTTCCCTAGGAAAGGAGGGGACCTGCCAGGAGGACCAGCTGGACCCCAGGAATTGCTCCTTGAGTGACCGTGGGGTACAGGTATGAAACTCAGCAAAGAGAACCTGGCAAAATTATTCCAGGAAAAATTTAAATGAATATAGGAAAATGAAACAAAAAGTAACACTCCTTTTACTTATTTATTTTTTTTAAATGATAAAATGCATTACCCTAGATGCATTACCCTAGACATGCACTGTAAGAGCCTTTCAAACAAAACAAGTATTATTCATTACCCTTTTCTCCCACTCGTTGTTCAAAGAATCAGTGCTTTGCTCACACATCTTCTTTAACTCCACAATCTGCTTTTCTTTTGCTTCTCTGACAACTTGTGACTCACGAACAAGGGTCTGAACTGTCAAAAAGTGGGGAAATAAACAACCATTCAAGAGGCACTAGTGGGATTTATGCAGTGTTGGCAACAGATGCAATCTGATTACACCAGTTTTCCAAAGGGCTCTGCTTTCTGATGTTTTCCTGCTCTTAAAAATATCTCATGTATACATGTCTTTAAAAAAAATGAGTGCTTAAATTCTGTGCCATTGAACTAACACAAGGTGTCCTCTAATTAATTGGCTGTTTTATTTTTTCCAGAACTATTTTCAAGAGTGACTGATGTTTCCAGCATCTCTTCTGGTCCCCTCCACGGTGTCCTGCTACAGGCGAGCACAGAAGCCAAGCTCCCAGCAGAAGCACCTTATGGGCTAATTTATTTAYGAAGGAGCTGGAARTATTAGTTTATGTGAGACTCTCTCCTCCCTGGTACCCAGGTTGCCAAGCCCGGGCATCTATTTTAAGTTGTGGTTTAGCCTGTGGAGTAAATATACTGCAAGAAATTCTAATGGAAACAAATATTCCAAAATGAAGCACACCCAAACAGGCCTAGTTTTGTACTTAAGATATATTCAAGACCGCTACTCATGTTTGAAATCCGCCTGCCCCAATAGTCTGATATAAATAATACATTAAGATTTGATTAAAGTACTGAATGTATAAATAAATTAACCCTCACCAAGAGATTCTAAAAAATTTGAAATTAGTAGTTAAAATACTTTGATATCAACGTTTTTTTGTGGCTCTTGTAAAACCTGTTAGTATTAGTAACCTGGAAAACTTGGTTTAGACACTAGAGAGAGCAAAGCCAACCAAACTCCTAAAACGTAAAGGAAAAATTAGGGCAAGACATTACATGAAGCTTGAGAACACAAAAAAAAGTTACACGTGCACCTAGAAGGAAAAACAGCTCTTCGTTACAAGCATGGTGCAGAACAGCATTGCCATGCCCAAAGAACAACTGGGAAGAGAAAGAAAAAAAAATCACCTTTTTTCTCCAGTTTTCTAATAGTTTCCTCAGCTTCATTTTGCTTGGTTTTGTAGAGGGTCTTCAATACCTCTATTTCATTATTCTTTCTATCCAAAATCTGTGGTAAAAATTCAAAATACTTTAACAAGTCACTTTAAAAAGAACCCACAGCAGTGCATAAAATAATATAGACTGATATCTATCAAAGGAGCTGCCTTCAAGAAGTGCTTAGATCTCACAGGACTAAATGATGAAATATAAAATTTTCATAGCTAAAAAAAGGAGATAGCAGCAGGTAGATGAAAGTAGGTAGCAGTGTATGACCCCGGGTGGTAGAAATTCCAGTTTAATGTGGCATTCTTATTACAACTGGGGAAAAAAAGAAAAAGTAAGAGGAAAACATTATACAGAGGAAGCAAATCTTTAGAAGCTCTCGATATTTCTCTAGTGCTAAGAAAAAATGCTTAGATATGCAAAAGTTTTGAAAGACGGTGTGTTAAACACTCAGTTAACCTCATGGGATTTCAGGAGAAAGGAAAAAGTCCTGTAAAAGATGGAAGGCAGTTGATAATTTCTTTGCTGAGACATACACAACATCCACGCTTTGAAAGGGGGGTGCTCAGGACATACAGACCTTACTTGAAACATTCCAAATATTCCTACAAAGAACTTCCTGCACAACTTACTGACAGAACAAGTCTAAATCGCGAGGATTCCGGTCCCCTCTTTAATCAATATTCCTACAATTAAAAGGATTTAAGATGACCCTTTCAAGTTTCCAATCTATCATATCATTCTTGACATTTATCAGAAAAAATCATAAATATACACTAAATTGAGATAAGAACTTCCTCTGTTCAGCTTTATCAAAAGGTATAGAATAGGAATTAATGATTCAAGCATTATTTATGATTCAACTATCAAAGTTTTATMTCTCTTAGACAAAGACTTCATATCAACTGAAGCTTTATGTATATATGAAATTTATACCCTTCCCTATATCTTTTTCCATATCAATTTATATTACTGTATTTTGAGTTTAATTAGATTTTCTTCATACTCCAATTGTCAGAATAGTTAGCTTTCTGAACCACATCTATCATATAAACAGATTAAAAAAATCAACACTAAAGTTATTACACTCCTGTCATATATATATATATATGCGCTACCTAATGTTATTTGGAAATATGTCTAAACTTTTTAAGGGAATTTAAGAAATGCTTAAAATGTTGTTGAACTTCAGTACACTTTCATTTGCTAAAACGGATACAGTTTTTTTGTAGGTATTCCAAGAAACAATTGGTTGAAATAGATATAAGTATATTTGCATAGCTGTACATAATGATTTGGGGGAAAAATGAATATATTTGAATATTTGAACACTGAGATATGATTTTAAATTAAACTTTATTCTTAAGATAAAAATTTTAGTTCAAAGACATCTTATGGGCCCCAAATCTCTCATTAAACAAAAGCTTTCATCTTAAAACAACATTACTCCACCTGCATTAAATAGTTTTGTCTTTAAAGATTAATGACACTATTCAGCCTTTTCTAAAATATCCCACAATACAAAAAGACTTCAAAAGATGGAATCTTATTATCAGTTGGAAAAAAAGGATGACAACTAAAGGGATGAGAAAGCATTCAAACTATTCCTTATTCTCACAAAGCTGCTTCCTTCAACTCTCCGCTCGCAGCTCCACGTGTGGCTTTGAGGACCGAGGAGCCAAATATGCACCTGACCAAATATTAACATCCCRCCAAGGGGCTTTGATGGGTCACAGGGCTGTGTCCACTCCTGTCCTCCAGCCCCGTGCTGGAGCATCCTGCTGCTGAGCATGTAGCTGCCATTAAATTACTGGAAATGGAAATTCTCACATTGGGAACTCCGCAAAACAGTCTGTGCTTTCAGGTACAGTGACAAGGAGGATATGAGAACGAGCATTATTGATTTATTAGTAAGAAAACATGTGATTCACTCATGGAATTTTGAGAGAATTAAAATAAATAACTGAAAAATGTGCAGAATAACTGAAAGATTTGTGTAAAAATAACTGAAAACAAACTTTTTTTTGAGGAAATGTAAAGAATCATTGAAAACCGGTTTTAAAATTATCAACCGAGTCCATAGACGTTTCTAGATTGTAAAATAGGTGGTCTTATTAAAACAAAAGCAGAAATTCCCTTGAATATTCGCTTAATTTTGTGAGCATTTTTCCTTTCTTAAGTTCATGTAATCACAGTTCCACATTCTTGTTTACTAATGTAAACTTCTACCTACAATCTTATTTTAATATTAATTAAAAATCGTGAAGAAATTAGTACTACTTATTACATTATTTATTACAATCTTATTCTTCATTGTTTTTTCATATGTCCTTTCCCTTAGAGGAAAGGAAGGTTACAAACTTGCTTACCTTTTGAACATCMGTATCATGCTTCTGCTGTAATTTAAGCTTTTCCTCATGAAATTTAGCTTCCACTATTTTTATTTTCATGTCCAGCTTTAAAAGCAAAATCAAACCAACATAAAAGTTAAAGACTAAATTACAATGTCTTTTAAATAAGTTTTAAATTATTCATTGACATCTTAGTGACTCCCCATTGCCTTCTCAAATGAGTCATTTCTATAAAAAAACTATCCAGTTTCTCAGTATTTTCATATTTATTTGTAAAACTGCTACAGAAGAGCTCAATCTAAAATATTTACTCAGAAAAAAAAATTCATAAGAGGCTTTAGCTGGCAATAAAAACAACTGCTACCACCTATTAAAAAAATATACTCTTTTATTTAAATAAACACTAAAATTAAATTGTTAATATTTATGTTAATATGCCAAGAATGGCAAGCATGCTTTTATTCTTCAGGCAGGTGTTACATTTATACAAACAAGGTCCTACTGTGCACATGCATGTTTATTTTTGTTTTCTATTATTCAGAGATTTCACATAATAAGCACATTTCCTTTTGAAGGCTCCTTCTAATGGCAWTAAGAATCTAACTGCTGCCTAGATTGCTGGAGTGCATTTCCTGCTCAACCTGTTTTGTTGATGGTGGTGTTCTTAAAACCTTTCCTTAACACGGCAACACGTTGACATTTATTATAGCCCACTTGTCATCTTCCAAGTATTTTTACTCTCTAGCATAATTTCATACCTTTAAAGGGTGTTTTCAGCACCCTGCAAGTACAGCAGGTACTTCTGGTTACTCAAGAGTTTTCTAAAATGCAAAAATGCTGCCTTGGGTTCAGATTTAGGCTATTGCACTTGTACGATTGATAATTTCTCCTGCTCAGAAAGCAAAGTAGCCAAAAAAGCTTCCCAAGCCTCTTAACGACAGATCTTAATGACCTCCCTCACTTTGGAAAGGAGGGACCAAAGCCAGGGAAGTGTGAGTACCAACGTCRCATGAGATGATGTCCTTAAGGGTCTCTTACTGACAACGAAAAACCAACAGGAACCACACASAGACACACAAGGATTTGCTTTCAGGATGTTCTCGGAGCCAACGGTGCTGAGATCCATCCCCTTGTAGCCAGTCATTCAGCTATTTGCAGTTTTCCAAAGCTTAGCTCAACTGGAAGCCTCACTTGTTATCTTCAGCAGTCAAACTTTAAAGGAACCAATAAGCATTTTTCATCATATAGTGACTCCTTTATCAAAGGCAGTTGACCAACCATGAATATTGACCAACCCAAAATAAAGAACATAGACTAAATCATTTGATGTGTGATTTCACACTATTTATCAGTTCTTTGTACTGTGAGGGATTATACAACTTTTAAGAAAGGGGAGCTCCAAAAGCATTAACAACTAGAAAACACAGAACTCAATGCAGTAAATATAGAAGTATAGTAAATATAGAAGACTGGGCAACAGCTAGGAAGAGAAGCAAGAGCAATACATACTTTGAACTTCTGGACTCCGTATGCAGTGATAATCAAAGCATATACCTGCTTATTATAGCACATATAGAGAGGTTACCTATTTCCCAGGTCAGGTAGGCAAATAGCCTCCTGTAAACAACCACACAAAGAAGTTGGGCTGATGATTAACCCAAAATAAAAGGAAGTGTCTTCTCATCTTACAGCTCTTTCACAGTTCTGAAATAAGCATAATGATAAAAATTCATATTCTGTACATAAAATATATGCAAATGTCTAAAAGAAAATGCATGCTTATGTCCCTCCAGCAAAATGACATTAGAGAAGAAAATCTTACTACCATATGAAAAATAAATGCCGATTTAAAAACACCACAGTAATCCACTTCTAGATAGACAGTCTCTGAACGTTTTCTAAGTAAATACGAAGTTCTTACAGAAATGCAATTACTAGAAGCCAAACATGAAAGAGCTTCCAATCTTCTTGAATTGCATTAAAAGTAGATGAACTCCTAATGTGCTGCCATTGTAGAGCAGAGCCATTAGATCCATGCAAACACATTGCAGTTTAGACCTTGAAGTGATGTAAACTCTGCTGCCGTAAATGAATCCCTGGAATTTTGGATCAGCTGAGATCTGGGCTAGGCTTTTATCACTCCATAGGWTGAAAAAATATGAAAATAAAATCAAACTCTAAAACTTGTCTCATATTAAATTTGGATACTAGTTTTAAAGAGCTGCTGGTTGGTCTGAGGCACACTTCTGTTTTCACACAGATTGACAGAAGTCTCTGTAGGTGGAGCTGGCCACGTCTCCTTGTCATTAGTCTTGTACTTAATGTTCTTTCACTTGCACTCCTCCATTCCGTCCATTTTAGTTCTCTTTCTATTCATTACATTGATTCCAATACAACCTCCTTTAAAATTTCCATGCACTGCGGACTACTTTCCAAAACAGACTGTCAGCTTTGTCTTAGGAGAATAGTTGTAAACAAAATAAAAAGTTTAAAAAAAAATCAAGTCATTCAACTTGTTAGAAGAAGCACTTAATTGTCCTTACGSTCATTAACTGTAATACTCTCCATTACCAGTATCCTTTTATTACTAATAGGCCTTTTTTTAGCAAGCAGCTGAGAAAGGACATTTATGACATATTACCATTGAGACAAACAACAACAAACTTTTATATATATTTAGCTATAGCTAAAAAGTTTGCAACTACGCATGAAATGCTGCCGTTGCTGCAGCCTGAACATCATTCCTTTGGATTTCTGTCATTGTTTATTCTCCTTACAGAGAGTATGAGGCAATTAAACCCTAAGGCCATGTAAACATTACTGATGTCAAACATCTGTGCTGTCCCTGTTATTTAAAGCCATGCAGGGTGTTATCAACAGAGCAGCTTTTAAGTGCCTGGTCACACTTTCTTCCTAATTAAAAAAGGGGAGAGGGAGAAAGGAAGGGGGGAAAAAAGAAAAAAGAAAACTTACTTCAAAAATAGCTTTTCAACATATCACTGGTCTATATTTTAACAGCACAGGTCTGCTATAAAATTTAAATAACAGAGTGTCAAAATAAAACCAGTGAAGTATAATCTTCAGCTGGCAGAAATCTATGACAAAATACCCTACTATTTCCCCCATAAAACAAATATCCATTTTGTCACTACAAAAATTTGTAGGAAGAATACCAGCTATTTGATCTATTGAAATACTTGATTTAGAAGTAAATCAGTAAGCAAACCCACAATAATAATMTGGGGCTGTAGTTCAGAGATAAATTTGAACCACTTCATTACTGTGATCCCCATTAGGCCTGGGGTGGCATCGAAAGGTCTTTACAGCCAGAGTTTCTCTTTTGATATTTGACAAAATGGCACATATTTGCTTGCCAGATTTTTTATTTTTTATGTCCATGAATATATGGGGGGAAGGAAGGAGGAAGGAGGAGAAGGATGTAAATAGTAAACGAGAACTTCAAAGTCAGAAGRAACAATGTAGAACAATGACTTGTGTATCTTATAATATACCACAGACCCTATTTGTCTTGGTGTTATGCAGCTGCTAGAAGAAATCAGCTCACAGTGCTTTGATATTTTCATGGAAGAAAAACAGTATTAAAAAAAAAAAAAGCCATGGGCCAGGAATCAGTCTCACATAGCTAACATCTCAATTTTAAAAGTCGCAAAGTTTTGTACATTGAGGAATACATGGATTTCAGCAGAAATGGTTTTTGTATTTAAATGATTCTATAGAAAAAGGATAAAGAAAAGAAAAATGGGGAAAGCGGCCAAAAAATAATAAAAACACAAAGGAAGAGGGTTTGAGATAGCGACACTCCTGCCCCATCGGCAGATTGTGGGTGGGGAAGTTAATCTCCTCTCTTCCTTCAACCGTATTATTTAACCTAGCAAACATTTATATTTCTTTCCACACATTTAATCTCATGTATATCTTAACACTAGAAAAACCCTACAATGACTGCATCCATTTACAGTTTTGACAGTTTTCTTTTGTTTTTACAGAGCATTTTTAAGAGCAAAAATAAATATCCACTTAAGTAATAAATTGTCCCACTTCTACAGCCACTAAAAATGAAAGGTTTTTTCCTGTACCAAAACACGCCTGCCTTCCCCCCCACACACACAGAAGAAAAGTATCTGAAATGTTTTTAGGTAGCACTGAATATTAATACACAGTTTTTGTGCACAGAAAAATAATTCARTGGATAATTGTTCTTACTTGTAAATATTGTCAGCCTCTTTCAAAAGAGAACAATGCATTTTTCACAGCTTTCCAAGTTGAGGGTGGCAGGCATGGAGAGAAAAGCACAGCGCTTTGTATCCCAATCAAATGTAATAACTTGAAATGGTATTTTTATTCTAATTGATTTTTTTCTATAAAGCTAACATAACATGCATATTAGCCTCACAGCACATCATACTACTAAACAGCTTTATTTGGAGTGAAACTGTCCCCCTTCCATTCATCAATCTGCCACTTGCGGTAGCGACTCCCTGACATCAGGGAAGCGCCCAAAAGGCTTGAAATCTTGTTAGWAATTGTCAAAGCTCATATAAAGTAATAACTTAAATTATTAGGTGGAGTTACCTAGAAGACAGCAACAAATGCAACAAACTTCAATTGCCAGCACTGAAAACTGAATCCAGTTGAAGAGAAGTTGTAGGAAAGAGACACACACTGAGCTACACAGTAATCATGCAGGGMAAGATTAATTCCCAGCTGCTTGACAACCATCTGGACAATCTATTGGTTAAATACCAGTCTGAATTGCTAACCTACCTCTTTGATCTCTCTCAACGTCTCCGGCACATATGTGCAATAATTAAAGACATAGGTCACAAACTATTGCTAAAAAATACACACATATACACTTACATCTCCATGTCCAGACCTATYGCATTAGTAACTCGAAGCCTCAAGTTAGTTTGTGAAAACAGAGTTTGTTCTGGCATACACTGTGTGTCGCGCMTCAGTCTAGTGATAAATGAAGGTTCTAGTTTTATTACGTTACATTCTGAAGGGTTATTAAAGACAACGGGATGAGATTTCCTCATAGGACAACAGGCAACTTGCATGTGTTCTCAGGAACAGGACATTAATCGGTCAGGAATCATGTTAACAGAAAACAGAATTGCTGTTTTTTTAAACACGAACTAATAAATTAGTACTTAGTATGGATAACTCGGTGGTGAGAGTCACCATTTGCAAATCAATTCCTGGTATAAATCAGATAATGCATTCAAAATGGACCCATCGGGTCTGCAGGTAAAGAACAAAATTCACATGAAACAGAGAATATCCAAATCCTAACACTCTCTGCCTGCAACATTTTTTTAATAGAAAATAAAACAGTATTTTCAGAACCCGAGTATCGCAGGAATAGTCAAAAATTATCAAGTGCTTTTTCCTGCACTTTCCTCTGAAGCCAGTCACTACAGGAGGTTAGATAGTAGATAAATCACTGATCAAATTCATCCTGATTTTACAGCCTTCCCTTGCGCGAGCAGAATTCAGCACGTATTCTTATTCCCATTATTGCAAGAGTTCAGTTTTGGGTCCACCTACAGATGCCTTTGCAGTTCAGAAGTGCTCAGAAAAATAATCTCTAAAAACTCTCATATTGAACCTACTATGAGTAAACATCACAGAGTTTAGAAGGCATAGATAGAATGACTAGTCCAGTGCAAACTCAACATGACCAAGCTCCCCAGGCGCTAAGGAAGATGCCAATCTTGGTCTAAATCCCCAAGCTGCTTCTCTGCTCTTTTTCAGCATCTCCAAGGCAATTTTCCAGAAAMTCCTCCTGCAGTTTGGGCCTCCTCCTCACAAGAAGTATACCCTTTCAGTTAAGCTYATTTACTGAACCAAGCTGAATTCCTTTGTGAGAAGAGATCTTTGAATTTATGCTCTTTGTTTTACACAGTAAAACAAAAAATAAAACTCATACTTAAGGCAACAGAGAAAAAAACATTAAAGCAACTTGCAAATAAAAAAATGAAAGCTTCACGATTTGAGTGAAAAATGATTAGCATTGCAAGCACTTATAGAAAAAAATACTTCAGATTGGAATTCAAAAATAAGTTCACTAATTAAGCCAATCAGTAAGAAAACGTTATTGTTGTCCTGCACTGTATGACACAGCTCTTTGTCCTACTAATGTAGGCCTGCCAAATTTACCTGCACTGACCTTGGATATTAGTACAGTTTCTTTAGAAGCAAATGCACATTAAGGTGAACTCAAAAATCAACTCTTGCAATCTGTGATGAAAACTCAGTCTTTACACCGGTTTAAATGGTCAACTGTATTGACTTGCTAGAAGGAAAACAAAACTTATAACTCTATATATACATACATATCTATACCTAACTCTATATACATACCTATCTACTGTGTACATTTAAACTCTGGAGAGTTATGTGCATACACATCACCACACACGCATTTTGTTTCATTACAGTACTCAGAAAAACAAGACTGATAGACTTTGTTACCATTCTTGGAAAACATGAMCAAACTATCTGTTTTCAATAAGCAAAAATATCAAATCCATGATGCAGCTCAAAGTACAATAATGTTAATTTCACATTGTCAAAAGCCAAAGCTAATTGCAAGAGTCTTTCTTTTAGAATACTGTCTCCGTAGTAGTTTTATTTATTGTTCTTAATCTGGCAGGCATTAAGCTTCTAATTCATATATTTAAATACTTTCCCAGAGAAGAAAGGAATTATGCAGAAAAATAAAAGCATTAAAATGATGCTCATTGACCCCTTCATAAACCTTCTGAAAGGAGAAAACGAGGTTAGTCTTCTGTGGAGGTGACAGTCAGTCTCAGTCCCATTAATGCATCTTCCATAATCTGATCCTCTTTGCTTCATTCCTGCTCAGCATGCCTGGCTCCTAATTACAGCTCTACATGTTTTATCTTCAAGTGTTTCCTCATTTCTTGCTTTCCAAAGCCCTCCTCTTTTCTATGGTAACCAACGTTATCCACTCTCACTCCCAGTTTCTGTAACTTTCTTTCCTCCTTCTATTCTCTTTGCTCTCCATCCTATGGGAGGTCCATACTGGAGAAGATCAGTATCACAGCCCTTATGCAATGCTCTTCATTACAAGTTACAGTTTCCTGCAGTAAACCTGCTCAAATTCCAGATACTTTCCAGCCTAAGACTTGGCTGTAGCATTATTACTATTCCTGCAGCCTGCTGATTTGCTCTAGATGCAGATATCTCGCTAGATCCCAACACGGCTCTGTGAGCTTACAAACAAAATYATGACATGCAACAAACAGCAGTGACCATTCAACCAGAAAAATCATCTTAGCAATCACGTTGTTTTTGTGTTAAATTGGAAAAATCACAAAAACCTCGCTTTTTTCCCCCTCCTGCTCTCCCTGGTGTATCAGATGGCACTGTCAATGACCCCAGGTCAAATTCAAGTGAAGGCTTTTTCCTATTTGGCAGAAATGGCATTTTTGATTATCTGCTCTGTTTTTCTGTAATACTGAAAACAGATATACTCCTGTTTTGTTGCAACTTTCTTGCTCAAGACCTGAATATTTTGATAATAATAGTTTCCCAAATAGTTTAACCCATGTCAAAAGCATTTGGGGAATATATGACCACAAACCACTGCCTGATGATAGTCACATTTTCATGGATCTGTGATGTGGTTATCATTGCAAAAGGCCACGTGTTTAGCATTACAGAGGCAAAACAGGTGCAGGTTTATGAACAAAAAGCTAAAGGTTAAAAGCAAAAACAACCCACCACCACTATCCTATTTTATGTTCTCTTGTTTTACTACAGAGAAATTGAAAACAGTTAAACATGTAGGAAACCTCTTTTGCACAGCAGTACTTTTCACTTACTACATTTCCATAAATGAAAAGACCTTATTCTTAATTGAGCTTCACATAAAAAGATGAAAACATTTATTTTTTCCAGTTAACAGTGCACACACATGGTAGTTGTGAAACATTTTCTGTGACTTTTCAAGCTTGAACTAGCCTACAATACAGTTCCATGAGCAAGAAGTATTGAGTTTTTACTATGTGGTTTGCAGAATTTTTCCACAGAACTAGAGAACCATTTTCTGTAGCTCATTGGCATGCATTCCTATTTGCTTAATTTCAAAATATTATTTAAATGACAACATTGTGCTTGTAATTTATTTGTTTTTGGGCTATTTTCACATCTTGTGAAACTCTGCCTTGCCTCATCCTGCGGCATTGGTGGTTTGAATCCAGTCAGTGCAAGAGAACAGTCAATATTGGAGCAGGGTAGAGAAAGTGAAACACATCTATTGTGTGGCTGGCATTTTCTGCTGCTTCTTTAAGCATCAGATTACACTGGCAGCTATCAGCACGAAGCATTCCCTCCTCAAATCATCCGCAAATCAAATTTATCCATCTTCCAACTCAATTATAGATGTCTTCTGAAGCAGCTTTGAAAGTAACTTTAGGACAGTTCTAATTTATAAGTGTCCCTATGACATACGGCACAAAGGGAGGCACAATTCAACTGTCTGCAGATGATGGGCCAGCTCCGAGATATTTGGAGCTTTGTGAGATCTTAGTATTTGTGGATAATTTAGCAAATTGCCTATTTTTATCTTGGTTTTACAGATAAAAGCCAATACGTTCAAAAATAGGAGTTTTGAAGGGAAAAGCAGGAAGGAAAGAATCTGGGCTTTTCAGTGGTCTTTTTGACACCCCTTTTCTTCCCCCACTCCCATATAAGCTGGGTTTACTTAAGTCTGGTTCACCAGGTTCTCARTTCATTGACTTACTGGAATTATGTAAAGGCTTATGTGATTTCAGAAGAATCTACAAGTGTCAAACATTTCAGTTTTAGGCGTATTTGAGTTTTATCTGACTGATGTTTTAATTGAAATGAACAGCTTATCACATAAGTATTGTATGGGTATAAAAGTTGTATTTAAAAAACACAGTTAATGAAAACTTTSTATTTTTTAACATTTACAAAATAGATTAACAAAGTAAAAGAAAATTCAGCAAGCTTTGGTGATAATCTTGCATATTAATGATAATAAACAAGTAATATAAAAACCCAAATGAAAAAAGGAATTGTAGTTGGACAAGACAAACATGTTAGAAGTAATGTTAGTACAAATAAGATCTAGACCTGCATATTTTTAAAGATACATGAGTTAAAAAAAAAACTTGCTAAATCAAGAGTTCTGTTACTCCTATTAAAAGGTAGTTTAGAATATTCTTTGATTTCAAATTTTTCTACACTACGAATTCCTACAAAAGAACAGCCAGTGTGCTCAGAATGTATTGTAAACGTCTTCCCAATTGGATATAAAGTATTTAATGCAAAATCCATCAGTTTAAGGAAAAATCCTTTGCATGAGATTTTCTGCTATAACAAATTGCTTTGTGAATCATCACCATTTAACAAAAATACCCCAATTTACTAAGTTGGCTGTATTTTTTTTCCTACTTTTGGCAGACTAAATAACATCTTACCTCTTTTTCATGTATTCGAAATAGTGATTGCTCATCCCRAAAAGTGCTATTTTTTCCTAAACCCATTTTGGGTGTTGTCTATTGAATAAGGAAGAGGGGGTGAGGGGAGGGAAAAAATGAAAAAAAAAAGAACAGATTAAGTTCAAAACAGCATCTTTAAGTAAAAACATAATTAAATTTATATATATATATTATATATTTTATTTTTATATATACACACACACACACAAAGCACACACATGAATTAATCATACTTGTTTGTCCTTCTAAGATATCAAGGGCACATAAATACTTACCAAAGACACTGGCATGGGTTTTTCCCGCAGATATCTTGGATTTTCCAGCTGAAAAATAAGACGTTACAAATGGAGTTCAATAATCATACCAATATCTTATTTTCCTACAAAAACAACTATCTCAAGAAAATGTTTATCTCTATATACTCAAAAACATTTGTAATAGTGACTTTGGGTGTAAACATATGCACCACAATCTTTTCCAAAAATAGTGTATTGGCACAAACACAGTATCATGTACACCAGCTCTAGAATTGCTTCTCATTAGAAATGTTGGTAATCTATTAAACACACCTAATCTACAAGTAATCAGCAGTATTGTCTCTAGAGACAAAGTGTACCAAGGCACTAGGCCATAAGAAAAAAGGCTAACTAATTCCAAGGGSCATATTTTTTTCCTCTTTTAGAAAATTTCAGTGATTTTTAAGAAAAGACATTAAACGGAATTCAAACTCTTGTAACATACTGCAATTGTTTAAAAGTAACAAAAATAGAAAATCTCSAAAACAAATTATTGGACAGGACACACACAGACAAGTATAAAATTATAAAGGTTATAAATTTATAAATATCAGAACCCTGGAAATAACATCAAAATTAAAGACAAAAATCACAGCCTATGGAAATATCTGCAAAACGAAATTGAAAATAACAAGTTCAAGAAAAACTGTTGAACTTTCATTCCTCAAAGAATGTGCTAAAATTTTGCAACAAATATTTTAAGGCTAGGAAAGCACACATTTTTTAGTTGCAGTCCTGAGTTTTTAAATGATTTATCTTAWTATCAAAATATGTCAATAACTTTGAAATTGCTCAGATAGTAGTCTGCAAAACAGCAGTTAAAACTGCAGTTTGGTGCAAGTTATAAACAAGTCATCTGCAAGTTTTTCAGAACTTTATGGTTGCACAAATTCAGTCTGAATATTTTACAAGGACTAGGCAGCAGTGTCTAGATTATACAAAAACAGATTTTCTTCATTTAAATTAGCATAAAGTTAAAATAAAGATATTGATTACAATGATTCTAAGCTAGTGTTTTTGAAAAGTTCTGTTTTGAGTATATTGAAASTATATCCACATTTGTAATTCATAAAGAAAAAGCATATGGAAATAATTCATTAACAGCACTGTATAATTAAAACAGCTCTTTTAGTCCCTATTTTTAAGAACTGAATTTAAACCTTGTTCGTAACCCACTTCCTCTATCAGACAGTTACATCTTCCTAGTTTTCTAAGATGACAACACTTGAGTATCACATCACTCAGGACGCAGAATACCCAAGACATGCTTTCAAGGGTGTCACCTGATAAAACAGGGTAGTGAAGTTTGGAATAAGAACATAAATGCAATACACATCTCAAATTTTGTGTTTTTTTTAAGAAAATTATAGTTTTATCTATGAGGCATGCCAAATGCATCAAATACTTGCACATCAATACATTTTTGTTGAATTTATAAGCAAAAACAAGGTCAAATCACTCTGAAATTTCCATCCAATACAGAAAAATTTATTTCCTGTCCTAAAAGGTTCTATARGATTTCTATGTCCTGTTGAAGAGAACTCCTATTTCACAAAGTAGACTGATTTTATCACATTTAAGCACAAATACCATTACAAAGACACCTGACAGGCTAGAGAGTTGGGCAGAAAGGAACTCCACAAAGTTCAAAGGCAAGTGCAGGGTCCTTGCACCTAGGGAGGAATAATCCCACGCACCAGTCGAGCTTGGGGCTGACCTGGGGGACACAAGTTAACCAGCTTTGTGCCCCTGTGAGCAAGAAGGCCAATGCTACTGTGCAGTGCATTAGGAAGAAGGTTGCCAGCAGTTCTTTTCTCATTCAAAGTGAATTTGATCTTAGAATTTTTGCTTCTTAAAGTTATTCTATTTACAGTTAATTCAAATATATTATCTGAAATTTAGCTGTTTACGGTCTGCACTTCAAAACCCATCCAATACCTAAGGTATATCCTCATTGCTTAGGAAAAAGCAGCAAAACGTGGCTCAAATGTTTTGTATGGTCTAAGTCTTGCATTTTTTGATTTTGTAACAGCAGCCATATGTGCTTTGAAGTTAAATGTTCCCACTTTGTTACTTGTTGTGGATTATATCCACTTAAACTGATCTGTAAACATTTAATGTCTCAACATTCATTCTTTTCATGCTGGTCTTCTGCAAAACTTCTTGTTCTCAAAATTATACCACATTAAAGACAGTATCACAGTAAAGAGTTCCTCAAAAAAAGAAAAGAAACACTCTTGTATTTATGAGAAACATGCAAATTTAAAAATAATAAGCAAAAGGTCAAAGATGAATCAAAATACATATGTATGAAAATGAACGGTTGACACAAGAAGAATAGTAAATCACAAGATGTTTTAAGATGATGAACCAAATAAATGTCATCATGAAAGACATCTTTATTTGAACTAGAATTGAACTCTAATTTGCAAATGCCACTTCTTAGTAAAAATGACATTTCACATTTCTTTGCGGAAAACATTTTGGATTTGTCTGTTATATTTTTTAGCCAAAGAGACAACAAATGATGTTTTGATTTTTGAGGGTTGTCACAGTCACCTCCTATCACTTGAGTTCTCAAAAACTAATAAGTCTTGGTTATCAGAAAGCTAAGGAGAATTAGATGCCCATAAAGAGAAAATAAATATTGAACAGATCTAATCTTCTTTATGAAAATATACCTATTTCTCATGAACTCAGAAAGGAAGACAGGAATCCAGCATAAGAACTAGCACACACAAAATACTTGAGTTTCATTAGTCATAATTTTAACTTGAACATTTTTGATATATAATAAGAAGACCTAAAATGGACAAAATTGTGTTTACAGTTTAAAGTTACCAATGCAAGCAATGAGGGAAGCCCTGAAACGAGCATTTTGATTCTAGAAATGACTTTGTCTTACTGATAAAGGCTCTCCACATGATGTGCTCACAGCCCACCTAATACCCATCGAAGACACCTGGTATTTGACTCGCCACAAACTTTCAATACATACAGCAGTCAAATATTTCTATAGGTTTTCGTATACTTGGTTATACCACCTGCAAGCCTATTTCTTTATTAGCAGAAGATCTCCTCTACCCAACAGGAGGCCACTAAGGCCTGGGCTGAGAGGCAGATCTTTGAGCAGTGCAACACCCATGCAGYGCTACCAGGATCATGAGAAGCACCTGGGTCTTCTCCTCAAGCATGGATGCAAACAGCAACTAAAATGTAAAAAGGAAGTAAAGACTCACTTCTCCCAGTACAGGGCAAATCAGTGCAACTGGGAGCAGTGAATACTTTCACAAGACCCATCCTCAGCTTGTCTGCTCTATTTCACCCACAGGCTGAAACCAGTATGCAGGCTTTCTATCAGTTAAAAACCACAGGAATCTACCAAAGGTTCAACTCCTTGGACTCAGCAAATACGACAACAATGGTTGCATTAGTGTCACGGCCTCGTTCTACTCCTTCCAAAGGACAAAATGTGACTTAGGAAGATGTTTATCAAGGTAGAGCTAACCTCAGTAACACACTACTGTAGCTCATTGCAATTCTGCAACAGAGTCACTAAGTACATTGTCTATATTTAAAGACTAAGTGAAAAACAACAACATTTGGGTCAGCAGGCTTTTTGTACATTCTCCCATAAGCGTCTTCAAAGACAAAAATGTGACTGTTTTCAAAACAAGGGTAGAAAAAACACACATGAAAGAGTTAAGAGCACTTAAGATTTTGAAATGGTAAACAACTAAACTGAACCTTGCCCTAAGTTCTTACTTTAATCTAACAAACCCAGCCAGCCTGCATGTTCCCTACAGAAATAACTGCTGAGTAGCTTCAGGAAATTTGAGTAAGGACATTCTTATCTAACATCATAATTTGTAGGGAAATTCACTTTAATGCTGCTTCTGCAGCCTGAGTGGAGGGACTTAAAAGTACACGAAGATTGCTTGTCAGCATGGAAGCTGAATTTATTTTTTTGAACTCACAACACCACTTGGAGTTCACTGTGGGAAAGTTTTTACAGTGTTGCTGCCCTCCACCACCACAACGTATACTGTAGGTATGTTTACAGTCAGCAGCCAGACTAGGAAGCCAAACAAAAGATAATCAAATGGTTTGTACAGAAATGGTTGAGCTTAACTAGACTGGAAAAACACAGAGATGGGCGCCAAGCACCCCAAACAGGCGCCCAGGACACTGCTGCTGCGGCCACCAAGAACTCTCTGTACGTGCATCTATTTTAACCCTGTGTTATATGTRATTTCTCCAAATAAGATCATGCCATGCAAGGCACTGAGCACGGAATTCCTTTGGCATAGGTCCTCTCAAACCTTTCATTGGGGATAACCTTTCCCATGATTCATTTTTCTGGACAAGACACGAAATGTCCAAGTTCTTCAGTAAAACCACATCCTTTCTGGTAAAACTCGTAATAGTAATAGTAACTCTTTCTCAAAAAGCATTCAAAAGCAACAATTCTTTATATTAGGCAATTCAAAGTGTGTAAGGTATTCTGTGCATTCCCTTTCCTGAACTTTCCACCACTACTGAAGTGTCTTTTGGGCTAAGGATCTTCTGCCTCACCTCCTTCCTGCATATACCACCTCCTTTCAGAGCTCAAGGCTCCCCTGACTCCCGAGGTGGGATCTCATGTAATAAAGCTTCTCAAACTGCCTGAAAATGTGGACAGCAATTAAACAGAGTTGATGTTCCTGTGCTAGTGTAAATACATACAATAACAGTCACATCTTACACTCCAGCCGCACAGAGCTGGAAGTGCTGCCAACACTGTGCCAGTGAAATTTCATATTTAAACGCAAGAGTATACAACTATTAACAATTCCATTTAAGACTTCCTGACCCTCCAGGAGCCCATTGGAGACCACAAGACATAGCAGGGAAACACTATTTGGTAGCAGCCACGTGGAGATCTCTCTTTTACAATCTCAGATCCTCTTTGTTGGGTAACTCCTAACAGGGCTTATCAGGYGATCAAAGTCTCTCACTACCGACTTGTTTAATTACCATCCCTGGAGAGGAGACTCGAAGAACTGATTTACTTGTCACAGTAGCCAATTTATTATCCAACAGAGCTCCCATATCAGGAGAAGATCACTGTAGTTTAATAACCGTCCATTATTAACTCACCATGATTGCAATCTGGAATTTCAATTAGAAAAAGAAATAAAAAACAAATAAAATTAAAGASATAAGGAAGAAGACAGATTAACACTGATATAGAAATGCTGGATATAAASAGATTCTCTGTCAACTTCAATTGGAACAATTTGTAAAATGGCCATGAGCAAGTTTCTCCTTGAGGCAAAACTTTATGGGTTCAAGGTATCAGAGCTATCTGCTCATATAATCCAGGTATTCATATAACCCAAACATACAAAATATGCTTGTAACTACTTGCACACCTACCTCACTCACTTGCACAACACTCACAAAGTACAGCTGACTACTACCAAAAAGATTTGGGGAGACACATTCTCTTCAATTTACAAAATTACAAATCCTGAAAAATACATTCTTAAAGTCTGAAAGGTCCTGTACTACTGAGCAAATGCCAAGCAGTTAGGAACACTAAAACGTAGGCTAATRTTTTCTGCTTTCTGATCTCTGCTTTAGGTTTGATGAAAGGTCTCAAGGTCACAAAGAAAATGATGCAACAGAAAAGTATAGCAGAATATGGCTGTAAAGAGAAGGAACTTCATTAGAACCACAGAGCTGCTTTGGTCAGAGAGCAATTCTGTGCACATAACAGAAAATGCAACCAAAGGAGTAATGTCTCATTGTGGAAGCAGCCAGAAAATTAGCTTAGAAATTATATCCTAAGGACAGATGACAGCTTGAAAATAGAGATATGAGTTTACAAAGTGATCAGAATGTCTGAAGTTTTTAATACACARTGAAGTCTTAACAGTAAACAGGAGAACTGCTGGGAGAACCTCTTATACATTATTAAGGCCTGAAAACTGCAGAATTGTCCAAGAAATAGCACCTGATTCCATCCCCATCAGGATTCTTTTTCAGGTATTTTAGTTATGATACACTCAAGTCAGGTCATATCTCAGCATCATCCAGCATTATATAAGTACAATATACACAAATATATTTTAAAGCCAAGGAAAAGCAAGAACATAAACCACGGCACCACAGATTCTTCCACAGAAAACATTCTTTCCTAAGTAAAAGCCATTTGTAAAGAAGAAACTGAGATCTGGTTCAAGAAATTTAGTCTTAGAATCACAGATTTGAAGCAGTTTGGATTTCACCTACCTAAAGGGGAAGGGTAGAAGGTATCCAACAGAAAACCCATTTGAAAACTTCCAAAAGGAGTTTTGCTGATGGGCTACAAATTTTATACCCCTAAAAAATACAGAAGGCCACCTGCTTTCATTTATACTACAATAAAATSAGAATAATATTACCAATTTTTCAAAATTGAATCTGGATTTCTACCAGAGGAAGATGCTAGGTTTTGACCACCAGATATTTTTGTTACTATAATTGTATTAAACACATGAAAAGTTATTGCTYAAGTATTTTAACATTTTATTCTTGAGATGACATGTATTTATAATTCATCTTTCCAAGTTTCATCACTTCATTTCTGAAAGATTGATTTCTACACACCAAGTTTTCTTGACTAAATTCAGAGATGCAAACTACATTACTATTCAGCTTTTATTTCAAGCCAATAAATAATATAATSTGCTTGTTTTACCCCAAGATTCCAACTATTGAGACGAGCTTCGAGGTCACTGTCATCCAAAGAAGTGTTTTTTTTATGATGATGTTCCTGGAATATAAAARAAGTCAAACACAAATTTTAGAAGAGCTGACAGAAACATAATGTAAAAACTATTTTCTGTAGACTCAGTCTGTGCCTATGCTGCACTTCCTAGTTGTGTCATTATAGCTGAGCTSTCTTTAATTTAGATAACTCAGTTGCCAACAGGATTCAGAGCTACCAAGGAGTTCATAGGAGGATAAAATTACTYCACTGTCTCACTTTATTTTTCTCTGTTTATCATTTCAAGGCAGTTGCCTCCTTTACAAAGGGCAAGTTCACTAAATAAGCTCAAACTACTCCATTCTTCAGAGAAGGCACTTATTCCAGAAGTGAGCAATGCCAAGTCATCTCCACAGTACATCTTGGGAGAAATGATCCATAATTCACCCATTAGCCTCAAAATAGGAGAGTAAGAGGGAGACAAAACTGCAGCATGGCAGAGAGTTACAGTTCAGAGCTTCAGGCAGTTCTCTTTGCAAAAAAAGAAGCAAAGATCTCCAACATTCAATAATGATTAGTGGATCATATTGCATAGGGTTGTGCCTCTCAAAATTCTTAAAATTACTTTAGTATAATACTATTGATTGTATTTAATGTATCAATTACAGAAACTGGCACAGGAAACGTTCCGTAGTTCATTTAACTGAAATATCGCCTTAGTTAGAAAAACAGCACATAGAAGCATGATTTACTTTCTCTTATGAAGTTTTGTTAGCAAGTAGTTTGTGTGTTGGCATGCAGGCACCTCTTCTTTTTTAATATGATCATTCATTACAAATATACAGTGAATGGAGCTTTGACCTCAGTCAATCAGCACTTGGTGGAGGCACTTCTTAATGTGGCTTAACATTAAAGCCACATTAATGGCTTAGTGTTAGCACAGATGTTCTGATATAACTGAGGACCACTTCCCTGTTCCTCTACCTGGCCCTCAATTACATCAGAACATCTGTGTGTCACTCACAACAGGACAAGATACTATTTGTTTCAGCCAGCCAAATGTTCAGCGAACTGTTGAAGGGAATATTATTTCCCTTTTAAAGCTGTAATCATAGTAAAATACTGTACATGGAACCAAAGAAGAGAAGTGCAATAACTGTCCAACATTGCCCTGGAATAAACAAATAAAACAGCAGAGAAACAGAAAATCCATAAGGGTCCAATTCCAGATTTCAACTCACGGCCACCCTTTTCTTCACAGCAACTGTTCAATATGAAATATTTCTTTACATTAGGAAAAAACATAAAGAAAGATCTTATTGTCTTTCTGTGACATAGAAGTTCAGGAAATATGGCTGGCCTGTCTCTCTTTTTAATTATAATCATATATGACTGTACTTTAAATAAATGATATATCGTAACAACCTGACCCTGGAGCAGAGACATTAAACTCGAGCCCACAGGCCCGCTGGAGCCTGCCATGATGTACCCCAAAGCAAGGCAGGACATGAGCTTCTCCGGAAAGCTGGAGGCCAGGAACAAGCTTCCAAGCACCAGCATCTGCACTTCATTTCCTGGCAAGTTCTCAGTTGTGCCCAGTACAGAGCAGAACAGTCTGTCTGAATTGCTGTGGTGTCAACAGCCTGCTCCCAGCTGCGATCTTTCCGAGCTGCTCCTCCAGTGCAAGACACAGGGCAGCAGAGCTGCAACGTGCACGGCCTGAAACRTTGTGGAGGAGGGAGAGCAATTACAGAGCCCCCAACTACAGCGAAGGGACTACAGGAGACAGGGCCTTCCAAGCGCTGGGGACTGCATCCTGCAAGGCTACAACACATCCACAAAGGAAAACAGCATCCTTGACACTGATTTCAGTAATCATTTTTGGTTTTAAATCCTCATCGTTAGACATACGACAATGGTAAGTATGTTGGACTAAAGGGGCCTAAATAAAGCCTGTTTAGTCTCCTTCAATCATCCATAAACCTAATTGTGGACAGTTTGATGGAGGATAAAATAAACTGTCCAAAATTCATTMTTTCAGAGGTCAACTATAATTAAGCAGAGCCAAAAACAGCTATGCAGCTTTCTTTAATGTGCTGTTGCAAAATTCAAGATGATGTTGATAGACTCTGTTTGCCAAGTCTGGTCAAAACAAAGCRTCAGACTAACTTTGCTACACACTAAACAGAAGACAACTGTTAGGACAGTGGAGAGCATCCTACATGAAATTCTTTTCCCCTGCACCTGCAGAGAGCAATTGCGATGAACTTCAGTCCTTCCTATCACTTTTTCCTGAATATCTACATTCATACACAGGGATCATGATTCACAGAGCTGGAAAGAACAGTTTTAGGGGGGAGGTGTCAAAACCATTCATTGAAACTAGAGCAAGTTTTATTACAAAAAGGAGAAGCATCTTACAGAGAGCGCCRTGGATGGATGATCTTCATCTTTCTGGTGAGGAGGACTCATAGAATGTGACCTTAGTGCGAGCATCCCATTGTACTTGAATCTTTCCCTATTGTAACAAAAGGGCAAGTGGGAAGAAAAATTAATTTTCAGCAGCTTACAGCATATACTGGGTCTTGAGAATTCTTTTAAGCGAATCAAAGTAAAACAACTACCAAAATTTAAAGGCCAAAAAACCAGGAACAAGAAAAATGGAAAAATGTTTTTGAAGGCTTCTTATTAAAAAAAAAGTGAATAAGAGTCTTTAAATACTTTGTTAAAAAAAGAAAAAGTGAACACAGGAGAAGTCTTATACACTCAGTATATCAACAGGTGTTCTTTGCCTCTCTCAGTTATTACATCACCTGACAACTCTTAACCAATTTTAGAAGAGATTTAAATTAAGTGAAAGGGATGATTTGGGAGAATGTTTTTGAAGAAAGTTTGCTGAACTTATGAGCCAGGCCTCAGAAATCCCAACATTATATAAGATTATTTCTTTTTATCCCATGGCAGCTGCACAGAGAATGGTCAGAGTCTTTGCACTAACCCTGGCGCTCATGACCTCCTGCTTCAGCCAAAACAGTGACTAGCATGGGAGAAGGAAGCAATTTGCTGCTGATAAAGGAGACTAATAAATAATTTCCTACCAAGAACAAAGTAAGGGAAACTCACTGGTTCCTCCTGGGACAACACAGCCACACGCTAACCCCTTTAATAACATTCTTAAAGCATAACTTGTATCACTATAAATACAAAGYAGAATTTTCCTAGAGATTTCTGCCCAGACCTGCTATTAAAACCCAGTCTCTCATGTTTCAAAATAAAGATGCACCTTTCTAGTACCAAGCTTGCTCAGTCTTATTTCCAAACTAGTTTGTAAATAAGATTTGAGTTTTTTTCTTCTTACAAAAGAGCACAAATCTTCATACATAGCCAGAGGCATACTCCAAGATAAAGTAACTGTGAACATGAGTTCTTCTCTAATCCATTTCTTTTTGAAGAGAGAAACTTGATTTAAATAAACATSAAAAATTACCCTTAAACATTTCTCACCGACATTATCTGTTTTGTCTTAAGAAAAYGCTGTAGTTTCTCTGTAAGGATTAAGACATGGGTAGAATTCAAAATTCTCCCCCTAAAATGTATCATTTGTCTGGCTACAGCTTTCTGAATTCACATTTAAGTACAGAGACAAGTATAACGTATCAAGATCACCATCTGCTGGCCCTCTCCACAAACTGCAAATTACAGAAAATTTCAATGCAATATCAAAGTTAACTGAGCACCAACAATTTGTTCAAAAATGTAAATGTCGATTTATGATCTCTATCATGAATAACTAACATTTTTATATAGGAACATGTAAATAAGCTACTTCCATGAACCATAACACCTGAAATATTTGCATATTTATTCCTGCATAATTTRCAAATTTAGCATACGTTCTTATTTCTGTGCAGATTTATACAATCCGCAGGGCTATAAGAACTTCTGATTAGCAACACAAGTTTAAATTTGCTTAGGTACAGCTATGTTGTCTGTTTGAGGACCCATTAGTTGATGCACACACACATAGGTTGCACTTACAGATCTCTTTTCGCCAGTAACATCATCAGATTCACTTGCTTCACCTGTTTTCACACTAAGGCAACATGGGTCTGTAAAGAATTGACCACAGTCTGGGAAACACCTGCTGATCACCAGTCCCACTGGATCAAAAAGAAATAAAGTTTCCCTATTCTTTTAAAATGGCTGTTAGAATACCACAGGATAATGGATACATAGTAGAAAGTTTCTCTATTCTTTTAAAATGACTTGAGAATCCCAYAGAGCTCCTGGATACATGGTAGCAGAAGGGTCGAGGTACTCAAAATCAACAAGAAGTAACTTGAAAGAGAGCCTTTCTGTCATCTATCCGCTCTACAGCTGGACAATTTCAGAATGAAAGGCTCAGTCTCATGACAGAAGGAGAAATAAATTGTGATAGTTCTTTAGTCACATTGGTTTTGCTAAGGCGGTGATAATCACTTGTAAAAGTGCAAAACAAACTCACTGATTCTGAAAATTTAATCACTATAAAAATACATGTGTGCTTACACTGAGAGTAAAACTTCTACCAGAAGAGAACAAAAACAGCAGCTCAAATTTTCCTTTTTTTTTTTTTTAACCACCTCTACTGACACTACATAGGCATCTTTAATTATTCCAAAATCAGAAAATACCTGAGACTATACCGATACTAATATACAGAGCACACAAGCATCAGAATGTTCCAAGATACGTTTTGCACCCTARAAGTTCTAGTGGCGAGTTGCAAGTTTTCATTTTCGTGTTGTATATTAGCTCTCGTAATTTTTCACACTCCCCTAATTGGCATCCCAGTTATTTTAGGCCATGTAGAAACAGACTCTCTCTGTCACTAGTTGATTTCACCTTCCTCCTTTCACACATCAGCACGAGGATAAAGCACAAATATTATAGTTAAGTCCATGAATGAATGCAATAAACGAACACACGCAAGCTCAAACCTACAAACAAAGCTTATCAAATCCAACATAAATCAAAACAAACACCAAATTAAGGCAAATATAGAATCCTACCCATATGTAAGTGGTGATTCTTCTTTAGAAGATATTCTCCATGATTCCTCAAGCTTAGGCTCACTTTTTCCTAGTTCTCCCATGACCCAGTCTGGTAAATGGTCTGGGCTGCTACTTCGGACTCTTGTTGAATTTGGTTCATCAAAATAAATTGACTATAATTAAAATACAGAATCAACATTAGAGTACATTTATGCTAATACATTTTTATGCTATTAAGCATAAAAATGGCTGTTTGCCACAGTATACTCAGATCTTCASAAAACAAAGTACAAGTTTAACAATATCTATGTGAAATACTATTATCTGTACCAGATGTGAACATTAATAGCTTGTCGTTCTTGCTTTTTTTTGCTACAACCTCCCAATATTTAAAAGAAAAATGCACYGATTTTGGCCTAAATCTTTGAAAGAATATAATAAAGGCATCTTGAGCTAAGCTTTTTCCTTGRTTCTCAAATTATCTACGTGAAAGGAAAAACAGTCTTCTTCTGAATATCTATTTTTATGAGCTATTTTTATAAGCCAACTTGGAACCTGAATTTTGGAGGGCAAGGGGAAGAGCCAGATCTGTCGTAAGAGTTTTTGCATAAAGARGCTTTTTGCAACAGCAATTAGAAGACACACAAAACAAAATAAACAGCAGTATTTACCATACACAGCTGTACTCAATTTACTTGGAATTGAATTTCATGCATTCATACCAAGTCAGTCAGAAGTACTTTCAAAATACACATAAGCCAGCCTGGCTTATGTAGCAGTGACACTCACCATGTAGGAGGGTAAAGTTTTCAGTATTCCTGGTTCGGGCTTATGAGTGAAGGGACCTTCTAGGACACCTCGTTTCAACATGTGCAGGAGGAGTTTTGCGTATAAATTCCGATTCTTCCTGCCCACAATTCCTGTACCTGCTCCTGAGGGCTCACATAGTTTTTTAATCCATAGGGCACATCTCTGACGTTCTAGAAAAAAAAAAAAAACAAATATACATATTTATTTCAACGTAACTTAATATGCATATAACTTGAACATAATTATTTTAGAAAGTTGTGCAGAAACCCCCTCAGAACCAGGTTCAGTAAAATTAGATACTTATTACGCAGTGTAAGAACAGTGTTACATACAAAGCACTGACAATCATTGTTAGTCTACAAYATAACCTAGAATTTTTACATCAGTGTTTATTTGCATGCACATTTTAGCATATTTACCTGACCTATGCTGCAGTTTTAGGACATAAGGCTTCATGTCTACAACACAGTGATCAAACTCAGCGTCTAGTTTTTCCCAGACCTCCTCTTCACCGCTCATTTTGAAAACTCACGGAGAAACCTGCAAAATTAAGCACATGTGAAGCCAAAGAGGCAAAAGAGCACTGAGCAGCAGCCTCTATCCCCTTGGGCCACGCAAAGACATGCTTTGGGACTAAAGAAAAAATAAGAACAAGTCCTCATTAGGATTAATTCATAGAAATAGTGACCTTTTTTTGCACACAACTGATTATCTGTGGCCTGTTTAAATTTGCAATGCTCATTTCAGGGAAAGAGAATGAAACAAAGAACCAACGCACACAGAAAGGCCTTCATTTACACACAGCTGTGCATGAAGGCACCTAACATGCCCCATGTTCAGTACCCATCCTAAACAAAAGTTTTCTCTTCTATGGAAGTAGCTTAGAACAAAAATTGGGATTTTTACTTTTACAGAAAGAAAGAAAATTCAGGTGCTTATGCGTTACATGGAGCACAATTAGCAGAACCAGCATGGTGCCACCACCATTTCTTTAAGGAATATGGAAAAAAGCAAGCCGAAGAAGCGCTGTTTCCCACCCYGCACGCTACGGCGTGCACGGAGCACCCCGCTCACCCCAACGCCACCTGCTCCCCAGCAGCAARCGCCTCTTTCCCGCGCGCTTTAGGCTCCAGGGACGCAGCCGGCAGCTCCCGCTCCCGGTTAAAACCCCGCGCAAGGTCCCCGCAACCGCCGCCCAGGCTCCCCGMGCCGAGGCCTCGCAGGGCGACCCCCCGCCTCCAGCCCCTCCGTGCGGGCGCTGCCGCCGCCGTTACCTCGCGGTCCTCCCGGCGGGCGGGGAACGGAACGACCCCCAACACCCCCTGCCCACGGCGCCGAGCGGCCAACGGTTCAAACGGGCCCCACCCGCCTCCCGGCGGCGCCCGCGCGCGCTTCCTCTTCCGCCCGCAGCGCCGCGCGCGTTGCTAAGCGACGCCCCGCGGGCCGCCCCGCGCGCCAGGCCTAGGCCCAGGCTCGGCCTCGGGTTTAGACGGTGCCCGCGGTTCTCAGTGTTCTCGTAGCCCCCGTGCTGGGCTTGCACATTCACCAGGGGACACGCACTGGCACATACATATTCATGGGGGGGAACAGGAATGTCGCAGATCCAGGCAGAAAAGCCCAGTGCAGGCAGTAAAGTTTCGAAGCCAATTTCAAACACCGTTTCTGGCTGTTTCTAGGCCAGATGGGGTCAGGTGTATCCTGCTAGGGAAGAGGTCGGTTTTCATGTTCATTTTCGGTACAATGTTCCACGTTGCTGAGGTTTTGCTGGGGTGCTGTGCCTCGGGCAGGAAACCTGGGGCTGCTGGATTAGAAATTTGTGATACGTGTGAAACATGTGATAAACCTGTGAAATGAAACATAAACATGCCACTTCTCATTTTGGAGCCATTTCTGGAAAAAAAAAAGAAAAAAGAAGAAAAAAAAAAAAGGAAAAAAAATCCATTAACCCAAAAGAAGTGGAGAAATCTCCTGGTCCTTTCAGTCCTTCCACCTCTTTTTTGACCAGGGTTGTAGTAACTATCCCAAGTGCAACCGCTGTGGCCTCCCCAGCTCCCTTTATTATTTCTCTTCCCTCAGATCTGTCCTGGCCTCTCCTGTGTGTGCAGCATCCAAGGCACTTTTATCTCGCAGGAGTAAACTCTGCCGCACATCTCAGCCTGATTCTCACGCACGCATACATCAAACAAGAGTTTCTTAAAAGCACTGTCGAAAATCGGTGGTTTTCTTTGATTCCTCAGCTAATCTCCGGCAGAAATGGTTCTGGATTGAGACTCCTAGGTGATAGCTCTGACAGCTACAGCGGTCGCCTGCAGAAATCCCATATCCCTCCCTCAGCGTTTGCGTAGAAGCCGTGCAGAAGCTGCTGAGATGGAGTATTTTATCCAGAGTCAAAATTCCTGAGTAGATTACAAAGCTTACTAATAATCCTTAGATTCCAATTATAAAATGATTGTCATTTTAAGTATTTTTGAAGATTTGACCACTTTAATYTGTTTTTAAGCAGCAGAGTTTCTAACAATGCAGTAAGAGAACTGACCTGTTTGGACAGCTGAAACTGCTTTGACAACTGCTTAACTTCTGTCCAAAAAGAAGAAAAACTAAAGATTCAGGCAATGACTACGGTCCTGTCTCGAGCCAAAAATGGACGGGCTGATGAGTATCGATGTGCACTGACCCTCAGGGGAAACCATTCCAGATCTACACTTGTAGAATACACCAATATCCCAAACAGAACACAGAACRAATTCCCCATTTGAATTGTAAAAATGTGTTCATTTGAGTAAAACACATTCCGTACTTTTTTTTTTCATCTCATTTTACCATGTTCTCTTATCTCCGTAACTGTCTCAGCAGGTTGCCACAAGTAACATAAGCACAGCTTAAGGCACTCTTTCAGTTGTCTAAAAGAAAATGACAGGTTTCACTCAGGCATACGAGCCTTTGGAACACCTCTAGTTGCAATACATTATTTTTCAGGCCTTCTAAGCAAACCTTTCATGTCTGAAAAGTTGTGATTCACAAACACTTCACTACTTCAAAGACTTATCAGGTCACAGTTTTTTTTTTTTTTTCCTCTCTTCTTGCTTGAGAAGACTCGATAATAAATGCAGCATAAAGACATTGACTCCTAAGGGTGATTCTTTCAAGTATTCAAATACTGCATATCCAGCTAGGAAGCAGGGCCAGCAGATGTGATTAGTTTTTATACCACTATATAAGTAAATAGAACTGGGAAAACTTAAACTGGCTTGCATTGCTTAGAAAAATCAGATCGTTCCCAGAGGCAAGTGTTTTTGTGCAAAATACAAATCATTTCAGGTAAAAGTAGCATTTGTGTGGCACTGAATRCCAACTTCTTAGTGCAATTTCGCTGTTCTGCTGTAAAAAAATCAAGTTAATATTAAACTGTATTTGGAATCACTGCTAATGTGCTGAACATCCAGATACCAAAGATTTATCCACACAACATTTAGTCTGTGTTTCCAGAGATGTTCTTGCCTGGTAATTTTATGCCTGTTTTAAAGCTGGTTATTGTATATTTTGGCCTGTATGTCAAAAGGCATTCAAGGATCCTATTGAGACATATTAGAAACCAAAASAAGGCACAAACTGAACCAACAAAAATTCCTCTTTGGTTGCTAGTGTAAATTTCTTTGTCCATCTGTACATTAGAAAATTATACTGCTGCTAAGTGTAAATATTAAATGCATCCTAATAGCTGCCTCRATATCTCCTTAAAAGTAAGAAGTATGAGAAGTAATTTCCGCAATACTGTTAAAATATTCATGTGCAACTTTGAAAAATAAAAGCTATTAGAGTTTGTATGTTCACAGATTTTTAATGGTGACTGTAACATCTCCAACTCTAGTGTTATCTCAGCATTAAAGTTAAATGAACCTTTTCAAAAGTTCTAGATTAGTTTGCCTACAGTGTAGTATAGTTCTCCTTTTAATCACAGATAAGAATTCTAAACTTCAAAGGAAATCATATATGACTCATCACAATTCATTATACATGTGCCAGAAGCACTTTGTTATCACTTTCTAGTACACTGAAATTACATTTTTTTTTTTTTTTTTCTGAATGGAAAACCAGAAATAACCATCAAAATTGTCAGGGTAGATTATAACAGTCGTCAACCTGTATCATAAGCTCCTGAAAGACACTCTTTACCTAAAGCTACTTAATGACCTGAAATCATTATGTTGCTCAATGGTGTACACTTTTCCTGCTTTAAAAATGAATCAGGTACATTGTGTAATATTTAAACAGTGTTAAAAAATAACTCGTTTACACAAGGTAAGTCTAGACAATTTCATGTGAATCTGGAATGAGGAAAACATGAGTGATTTGTTGAAGATTTTAGAAAAGTGAAGAAGAATCTTTTGATGCTATTGATATTTAAGTCATGGTTCACTACTTAACTTCTAAATTCATATGGAAGTGTCAGTCTTTCTACTTAAGTAAATTCTGGAAAATCGTAGTTGGATGGTTCCGTGTCTGTCTATAATTAAAGGCCCATTTCCTAACCTCAGGGGAGAGGTAATGGAATGAGGACCAAGCTAATTACTAATAGGGAAAGCTTCACTATATAAATCAAAGAAGAGCTAAAGGATTTGACTGATGACTAGGCGATATTAAATAATAATACACTATTCTTGCCTGAAAAATTCTTTATTGTAAAGGGCTTRCTATTGAGACAATCAGTTCCAGTTACATAATTCTGGGAACTATGGAAACAGGAGAAGGATTKCAGGTGTTCTGGAGAAGGCAGAGAAAAGGAAAGTTAGTAGCTGAAATAATTTCTTGTAGCTCCTTGTAGAGGAATCAGCTGAGACCATATCCTYAGAGATTCCTGAATCTGCATGGAAATTTATAGTCACAGGCTAAAGAAATCATTTGGTAATGTTTTGTCTTGGTAAAGCAAATATTTGGTACTGTATCACATTTTAATTTTGTCTTTAGTCTTCACATGGTTTCATGTCTGATGGGTCCTTCTTCACAAGGGATGAGAAGAATCCACGTTCTGTTGAAAACAAGTTAAGAACTTGAGTTAACATTTTGMGATGTATGACAACTGAAGACAAGGCATCACATGGACCATGCTATGGAAGAGCGAACGTTCACACCATTTCTAAAGAGCAAGAAGAATTATTTTAGTTTCTACTTTAACGAAGGTCACATTCATCAGATGCCAAACAAAATATGAAAGAGGATGCTTTCACCATGGATGAAAGTAAAATTCAAAGAGAAACGCTCAATGCAAGCAARCTTGATAAAATAAATGCAAAGTATTTCCTCTTGCAAACAAACATCGTTATTTACTCTATTTTTTAACATAAATACTTATTAAAAGTATTCCTATTYAACAGCCTGGATGTCTGCAGACTTCTTACTATGTATTCTCTCCATATCTCAGGCCATTTATTCTTAAATCCCAACAACTTCCATGCAAAGCAGACTCATTACYAGCCAAATATGTGTTGAGGTTGAGTTATGGCATTGCCATTGCCAGTAACCTGGGTCGTACCTTTGAAGCAAGCAGGAAGGGTGAGATTGCCATTCACGCACTCCGCARCGACAGTGTAGGCACAGGATTTTTCTTTATTCTTGCAGTAGAAGGAAACAGTTTCCCCATGCTGGATTCCTTCCTTTAGGTCATTCTGAACCCTCTTCTTCTCACCGTTGTATAACACTACGGCTTTCTTCACTGGTATCTTACATGGGCCTGAAAAGCAATGCAGGTATAAGCAACACTTCTGAGTAATGAGGGCTCCATTTTGCAAACCACATCCTACCAGAAACCTGCACAATTGACATTTGAAAAATGATGCATCCCACACATATTCACTGAATGGACTTTCAGTATACAGAGTTTTAASTATAATAGAGCTTAATCAACTTACAAACTTAATCAACTTATCAAGTTATTTTAGCAAAGCAACAGACATCACGTGTTGATAAAAATTGTACCTGATTCTTAGACAAAATAGGCTATACAGATCAAAACATTTTTGCAATGCTTTAGCACTGTTTTTTTTTCTAGTACTCCTGCTTGTATGAAAATATTGAAGAAATTCACATGCCTAAGTAATGCTGGTGCAGTATCAAAAGCTTCTGGTGTGGATCTAACCTTAGTAAAATCTGTAATTATATTAAATTAAATAATTAAATAAAAAAAAATGAGCAGAGAGGAAATACTCAGACATAATAAAATTAGGTGGCTGATCCRCGAAGACAACTCAGATATATCACATATACAGTGTTTGGTGTTGGGAATCCTTTTAGATTACCRGAGCTCTTGAGCTTACCATGTTTAAGCTCTCAGTTTCTTATTGAGATGGTTGGTCAACTCTTCTGCAAAGGTGTGACAGCTYATCAATAATTACAGAGCCAGAGTTCCAGGAAAAGTCAATTTGATGCATAGCTTTTAGCAAATGTTAAGTGTATACCTTTACAAGTTGGCTTTAGGGACCAGTTTCCTGTCTTTTCGCATCGGGATGACTTAGGTCCATCCAGCACGTATCTGGGTTGGCAGCTGTAGCTGACAGTTTCATTATAATAATATATTCTGCGAACAGCAAAATTTAGGAATCCATTCTCTATTCCTGTTGGTGTGGCACATGTGACAGCTGTAGTATAAAAACAAACCTTTATCAATTTTGCAGTTTTAAAAGACAGATATATATTTGAAAAACACATACAATTTCCATTCTTGTTTATTGCAGTCTATTGCACAGCAAAACACAACCAAAGGAAGAATTAAAAAAAAAWAGCATAAATAATTATTACTTATTTTGAATTGCAATATATGYTTACACACAAAAATTATTTAAATGTGACATAGGCTCAGTGAAGTTCTCTGGATTCAGGTTAATTCTTAAGTTCATCATAACAGTAGAATAAAATGTTCAGGATATTGAAGAGGTCAGGTTCKGATTCCACATTGTGAATTAAGTTAACTGGTGTTGTTTGTACAACCTTTATCCCTGCAGCAAATATTTTGCTACCCCCATGTCGCATGCAATCAGGCAGACATTGTTAGCAATCACCTTTCATTCCTGATTCTGACTTTCAGAATAATTCTCTGGCATGTTTGTAATAATAATTTGATAGTCATATCAATTTTCTTTAATAATATCATTCATAGGATTTTATATATAAAATTCTGGGGAAAATGTAAGTGTTGATGGAGTAAGTTACTTACTCCTGCATTCTGGAATGCCGCTCCAGTTTCCATTGGCCATGCAGGTGGCTGTTTCATTTCCAATAACCGCGAGAGGTGGCACACATTCGAAAGTAATTGTGTCCATGAAAGTGAAAACTTTTCTGGGTGTCTTGTATGAAAGGACTCCCAGTTCGGGAAGCGCKGGAGGTGCACAAGTCACAGCTGGAAAAACAAAGAATTCCTAAAAATCACAGCTAAATGTTGAAGCATTACTCTTTTATGGTGAGATACCACACAGAGCAACGTGCTTACAACCAAGTTAACCTGCACATGTAGCATAACTCTCAGAAATTCATGATTTTTAACAATTTTTTCAGACAATATACAAAACAGCATACAGTTTTAATAAAGACTCTATGCAAGGCAGCTTGTAGCAAAAACATATACATATAAAGCAATAAAAAAATTGCTAAGGAATGTCAGTATTCTCTATTTACATACAGGGAAAATGTTGAGTGGGTGAGCACGTAACCTTCAGCTTAAACAGCATCCCTGATCCAGACCATGCAACTGTTTCTCTGGAAACRATCCACAAATCTAAAACTGAGCACATAAAACTGCATCCACACTTTTCCTAAACTTTGTTTTTTGCACTGTGCTATAGGCCCTTGAATAAATATATTTCTGAGCATGTAAAGGARTCTTCCTGCAGTAAGGAGCAGAGCTAATGTAGTGTTTAAACACATACGTATGCACTGYGGCAGGGCTCCCGTCCACTTTCCCTCCGCCGTGCATTGGCTTGTTCTCATCCCAACAAGATTGTAACTGAAAACAGAAAGMTGTGGTTAGCAGGAAGCTTTTACATGGAGCAAAATCGAGCTGTTTTCTGTGTCTCATAAGCAGACATAGCAGGAACTTATCTTACTTCCTTTGGTGGATCTTTTCCAGTATTAAATGGCTACTGCAGAGCATTCCAAAACAGGGAATCACTGACAAAATACCACCTTCTGTCCCACTGTACATAGAACTGTCAAATATCTCTCTACGTTTACTCTATTTCTTTAAATGCATTCTCATTTCTAAATCTAGCGAACAGCCCTGGGTAAAAGCATATTTGCTCCAGGGACCAAATTTCATTTACTGAGCTTGGAAAGACATAGAAGCAAAATTTTCAGTCTGCAGAGCCTAGTAGCATAACTTAGATGGAGATTATCCTTTCTCTGCTGGAGGATTTCCTCTCATGATGTAATAAGAGGATTTAAAAAGCAGAGGAAAGTGGTCCAGAATAAATCTTTGCACAAAATCTCTGCTATTTCGATGGATTYCATGTCTGTAAGACATTGCTTTGGAGTGGCAAAAGCCCAGGAAGCTATAGCAAAGTCTGCACAGGCTAGAGGAGAATCACAAGATAAGTCATTTTTTAATATCTGAAGTAGAAGGGGATTTTAATATGCCGGTTTCTATGTTCTGTGGCTTGCAATACTCTAGCTGGTGATCCTAGAATGTAATAATGTGATTTAGGTTATTTATTTAACAGCATGAGGAAGGGACAGCTTACCCTGGATCACATGAAAAACTTATGGTACTCTGATAGTGGAAGTCTGTAAAATCAATTTTTCCGTTCTGCAGGGGCCCAGGAGTGGGACATCTTTTTGCTGTCAATTAAAGATAACAAAAGGATAACATTATTTCGTGAAACATGAAGCTAGGATGATGGAAAGAATTTTGTCATAATCCTTCAAGTTTCTCCACTCCAGCCGATGCTTCCAAATTCCAGYTATTTTATCCTTCTATCAAAATACATTAAAGGTAGCTTCAAAGTCTTGATGATTCATTCATTTTTACCAATTATCTGAGGCAAATAACTTCTATGCAATGACATGACAAAAACGAGCGATGTCTGAGCCAATAAGGGCCAATGTTATCAGGTAGAGATGGCAGGAGAACAGAAGCACTGCTGGGTTTATCCAGGCTGGCTCCAACTTCCATCACCATCCAGGGGCAGAGGCTTGAGGAGGACATGGGACATGAACGGAGAGATCCTTCCCCTGCTGCTTGTCCCCGTGCCCAGCTTTAATAAATAGGGAGCACCAGTCCTCTTACCTATTTGGAGTCATASAGGTAGCAACAAGAGGAGAAAAACGCCGAAAAAGTGAAGCACCCAAAACCCAGCACAGCACCCAGCCCTTGCAGGGAGCCAGCGGCTCCTCACGGAGCAAAGCGTTTTTTGCAGAGAAAACTCCAAAATACAAGGAAAAAGCACCCAGAGAGCAGCTTAGATCATATATAAGAATGCATTCATCACTATGCATTGAAGAGAGCAAGGCAGGCTACGTTAGGGGGATGATTTAGAGCCTTCCCGGGGYTCACTCACGCAGGCAGAGCAGGGTGTTGAGCGGCCAGCGGCCGGTGGGCAGGCAGCTGTACTTGGTCTGCCCGTTGTTGGGCACGAAGCCCGGCCTGCAGCTGTACTGCACCTGCTCGCCCACCTCGTACACGCTCTTCTCCACGTCGATGGTGGCAAACATCACTTCGGGGGGCCGGGAGCACACTGCAAGAAAGGAGGCACTTCAGCAGAAAATTGGGCAGAAAAAGTGTTGCTGTTTCCGAAAAGGAAGCACCAGCACCCTGAATTAAATTGTCCTTTTCTGTGAAAAGCTGCAAAAATCCTTAGCCAGAAACAACTGTTTTCTTCTTCTCCTTGGTGGCAGCTCTGYCAACAGTCCCAGTTAGATTTTGTGCTTTTTTTGCCTTTTTTTTTTTTTTAATGAAAGATCCATTCGCTATAAAAAGGATTTACAGAGGTGTTCTTCAAAGTGAGTCAATGATGGCCAAAGACTTTAGGAAAGAGCTGGCATCTCAATTCAGTACAAATTAGTATGTTGGCGATAGCCTGAAACGAGATCTTCATTTTTTTCTTATTTCATCAAATACCTTTTTTTTTTTTTTTTTTTCCCAAGCACATCCTGTCTCCTTCACCCCAGTTTTTCTGATGAGTGGAACAAACACTGGTTCCAAAACACTTCTGCAATGTTGACAGCATGAAAACCTCGTCAGCAAGAGTGAGAAAAGGAGCAGGGCGAGAGGAGCGGAGCAAGTGTGGCTGTGGGGACACAGAGCTCCTGCTATGGGGCTGAAGGCACCTATGGGGCCTAGAGGGAGAGGGCACAAGAAGTGATGCCCAGAGCCCTCCGCATGCAGGAGGAGGAGGAGGAGGAAGGCGAGCAGAAACTGCAGTATTTTTGTGCAGAATTGTCTAAAGGCTTCAAAACGCTGTTGGATCCTCCTGATTCCCTCACCCACACTTCAGGATGCRTTTTGCTGCTGGAAAGGCAACGCTGCTTACCTTTTCCCGCGAGGGCGCAGTGGGTCAGAGCGAGCAGGCACGCGGCCAGCGCTGGGGAATGCATCGCTGCAGCGCCACAGGCTTCCCGAGTGACCCTCCGTCCAGCGCGTCCTCTCCCAAAAATAAAGGCATCCACCAAAGGGCAGTTACACATTAACGCTCTGTATTTATTCTGATCCCAGTAAACAGGAGATAAAAGGTTCCTTGTGTTGCTTTTAACGAAGGCTGAAATAATCATCACATGTTCCACCCGTCCATAATGCAGGAATTCAAAGAGCATCTCTGCTGGAAATGTCTCCTCGGTGGTTGTTTCTGCAGAGCATCTCCTGTTGGGACTGTTGTTTCAAAAAAAAAAAAACAAAAAAACAACCATTTTCTCCCTTTTTTTTAGAGGATGCAGATGTTTGGAAAAAGAGAGTGGATTAAATGTTGGAGCTTTCACTGAGAAGCTTTTATTTGCCACTTGCACTACAACATTGCCATATATCAAACAGGCCCCAGAGTTATTACAAAAATCTTGGAGGCAAAATGATGAGGGATGAAGTGATATTGGTGCTGCCTTATTCCTCTGGTGACAGTAACAGTGTTGTTCCAGTTTACACTAGATGATGATCTGCTCTCAAATTGTTGGGTTCATGGGCCTATTCTGTCCGACTTAGTCATCAGTAAGCATCTTTCTAGTAAAAGATACCTAAAAGTAGCAGAAAGAGGGTTTATAACACCGGTAGGAAAAATAAAATAATGGTTCTTGATTGTCCATATTTATGATAAAAGTTCAAACTTTAAAGCACTTTTATCACTGGCTGATAGTACCTGGTTTAGCTGTGGGATTCAGGGCCATCAACCAAAGCAACACAGTGCCCAGCAGCAAAGCTGCTGACCACTGCGGTTCTCCTCCCTTAGCAGAGCTGCACACGTCAAGTGCCACCAAAACAACATTGGTGCGATCCTTGTGCCGCACTTTGGGGCTCCAATCTAAGTGTCCTCCCTCCTTGCCGACTCACAGCCTGCGAGGGGGAGCGAGGGGCAGGGAAGCCCGGAGACACCCCGTTGTGTCGAGCTCCTGCCGCTCTGATCTCCTTTTGCTGCTGTTCTCCTGTAAAGTCTCTCTGTTTACACTGGAAACACAAGTTTTAGTCACAACATGAAACAATTAGGAACGTGCTGCTTCTCAGAAAGTGCCGTGCTGGGGCTGTCTTGCAATATTTACCAAATGCACAATGCCAAAGGGCAAAGTACAAATGCTAAATCAACAGCAAAATTTGACTTTTTTTTTCTGCATTTGCATCCCCCCCTTTTTTTTTKCCTCCCTTTTGTCACTTCCTGCTTCTTTCTCTCCTCTCTTTACACCATTTCATACAAGTCTGTTCCCTTCCCAACATGTCACCGYGCTGCGATGCAGCCTCTTGCCTCTGGTTTAAACCCTTCCTTAGATCTGCCCGCTGTTCCAAGTACATTCTTGTCTGTGTTCGAAGGAGCTCAGAACAGCTAGGTGCAATTTCACCCTTTTCAGCCCTGGCTCTGTGAGCATTTCTTGCTGCAATCACCAGATGGCACAATGTGCTCTGCCATGGGCAGCGCAGGTGGGTACTTCACTCTTTTGTACTACTTTCAGGGAAAAAAAAAAGATATAATAGAAAATCCATGCTGAACAGCASCGTGTTGGGTACATTAATGTATYGTCTTTATTTTTTTTTTAATATCTGTTGTGTGTGATAAGTTTGCTAATTTTTAAACTAGAAGTAAAACTGAATGCCTGTTTAAGTATGCATTTTACATGACCACATTATAACTGCTAATATTGTGATTCCTCTTGAAAGCTACTTTTCAGCATTAAGAATGTACGTAGCAAATAACCATATCTTTTCCAGTGCCTGGAGAGGATGTGATTATTATTGTATGGGTTCATCTTGGCAGAGCATCAGCAAACCAATCTACCTCTTTCTGCATTTGGGGGTAGTATGCAATTATGYATGTCATCTAATTTCCCATCAAATCCAACCCACTCCTTAAGCACATGAATAACTTGGTGTGTTATTTATTTATTATTATAGCTCCTAGAAGGAGCTTCATGAYAGGGTTATCATGAAGCAGAACTTCATTCTGATCATGACTGTGTAAACACAGCGCAGGCTGAAGGCTAAGTCTAAGGGGTCTCTAGTCTAAAGGCAAAATGCTGGCTATAATCAGAGGCAGGAGTGGAAGCCCATGGTGAGCCAATATTCACTAGCATCCTCTGTGAAAGTCCCCATATCACAGCACGTAGCCCTTATCAGTTTYGTGCTAGCATAACCTGTAAGGAGAATAGGCTTCAAGGAGGGATGTCAGCCAGGAAAGGCTTTGGTGCCCAGAGCAAAACATGAAGGACGGGCAGCACAGCAGGTATCAAAGTCCATCTTGGAAAGGGAGCAGTGAAAAGATGGAGACTGGTATTACTTGCTGATCAAAGCTGTCAGGGAAATAAAAAATAATAGAGGGACCCTAAAGAAAAATGGTGATGAAATATGGTCTCTGCAGCAATGTTCTGCACTGACACCAGGGAGTCACTTGTGCTGCCAAGACAAGAGGAAAAGATACTGCAATGATGACAAGGCAAGATGCAAGAATGTGGTCAAAGACTTTTGAAGCTGCTGGGCCAGGAACTGGTCTYTCCAGAAGTTATGCAGAAAGTCTGCAAGAAGTAGATGGAGAAGAGAGTTGGGGTCACTGCGAGGTGCCAGCTGCAGCAGCTAATGAGCCTGACCTTACATCCTGCCGTCACTCTGCCTCTCTGCTTTGGCTGACGACGGAGTTTTAATGAAATATAGGCTCTGCCGTTTCTCTGACCCTGCCACAGACATTCGGGCACTTTGTCCTTCTGCACGATGAGCACTGGGGCTGCTGCTCCCTGAGCTCCCCCGTCCTCCAGCTTTCCTGGGTGCTCTTCTGCAGGGAATGCACAACATGGCCAGCTCAAAATGCAGATGCTCTTTGTGCCAACAGAAATGTGCTGATCAGGGATACAGAAATTAAGGTTAGAGGGGCCTGAACACACTCCTGAGGTGCCAGCAAGCCCTGCTTGGCTCTCCAGCAGATGAAGAGATGGTGGCCAAASGACTAACAGATATATCTGTGGTCCTCTGTTAAGTTACAGGTCCAATCATTGYCCTTCRTGTTGCCAAGACAGGTCCATTTATATTTGTTGAGGGCTCATTTACACTCTGCACAAGCATTTTTATCACCTCCCTTGAATGCGTCTGCTACTTGAGTGCTCCCCTGCACTGAAGAGATAAGGAAAACAAATTGAATAGGTAAACTGAGTCATTTTCAGTCTTAAAGAAATAATTGCATTCAGTTCTGTGCAAGCCGAGCCTGTTTCCGCTTCCTACAAATTAGTATTAATATTTAATACTAGTTAGTATCAACTAGTAGTTAATACTGTTAATACTAGTTAGTATTAACTAGTTAGTTAATACTGTTAGTATTAATATATAGTATTCAGTATAGAGATGCTTAGATCATTTAGATTTAAACATGGTTTTGCAGAAGTTAGTGAAATAAATCTAGAATGGTGATGGTGTAAATTATAATTTAGTTCTAGGCTTTAAATCATTTCAAGCATTTTCCAGTTTATTGAAAGAGTAGTATTAGAATATTCATCTTGTATTAATCTGAGGCATTAAAAGCCTGGCACTGACAAATTTTCCAGGTGGTATCAGGCCTACAGAGGCATGAAAACTTTTGGTTTTCACATACATTAAACTCACAATACACAAAACAAGAGAACATGTGAAAGCCACTTCCTCCTCTCCGCCTTCTCATTTCCTGCACTGAAAATCCAGAGAATCTCTCGCTCACAGTTGTACTGTGACCCAAATATTGTAAAACAGTCTGTTCCTCTGATGCATATTCATCACAGCTCTGTGTAAAAATCCTGCTTCGTTTCTTCATCAGGAACACTGTACTATGAAGCCTTGGGGACAAATTATTCTCTGTGAGACTTTGACTCTTCGGTGAACAGATCTGCAAGGGATATTTCCTTGTGAGACAGACCGGTTTGATCAAAGCACCGCGTGGTGCCACCTTCACGGCCTGTCCCTCGGTGCGGGGATGCAGACATGGCTTTCGTCCAAGGTAGGAGCCAATCGGTCACTGTACTTGCTGGAAGAGGCTGGAAAATATCGTGATCTCCAAGCTCAAACCAGATAATCCTTGTTCCTCCATCAAGCTTGTGACAACATTTTCAGGATTTTCATCATTATTTTCCTGCTTTCTATTAAGACCGATTTCAATCACAGCAGCATTTGGCCATATGCATATAAATATATATATATATTTATTTATTTATATTATTGCCTCGGGATGTCTTCTTGTTTGCAAGCTGCGGAGAGTTCAGACCGGTCAGGATCTGACCCAAGTTCTGCAAGGAAGCAGCAGTGCTGTAGGAATGCATGTACATTTTCAGTACATCAAAAATGTCWTCAGCTTTTTACCACTTCGCCATCCAGCACTGCAATCCTCGCTAGTTTTTGTCCTAGAATGACTTTATCCCTCCTAGAGAAGGAGCTCTGTGGGTAAATAAGAGCACTTTTAAATGGTTTTAGCCTGGCCTGGCACATTGCCATGATACTATCAGAAAGCCCAGCTGAGACCAGATTTATTTACTGCTATTCTTTGGTTTTCCCAGATGATGGATAAGAAGATCAATAATCAAGGAGCCGTTTGATATATTCATCCCCATTAAAAACTTCCCTGAGCAGAGCGTGTGTCCAAAAGCAGCCTAGCGTCAACGCGTTTTGGCCGTGTCAGAAGCTTCCACCGCTATCACCTCCTATATCGACAGCTTCAATCTAGATAGATCCTATGATCTCTATTAACTCGTGGATATTATCTGTTAAATTCTTTCTGGGCAGAAGTCCAGAGTGTTCCAGATGAATAAATCTACCTTCTTTGTGTTTCAGCTCCTGCGCTCTGCACAGTGTAATCAAAAAGTGGATGCTGAGCTCCCTCAGGGCCTCCAGCGAAACCTTCCCAAGCTAGCCAAAGGCTTTCGGTGGATTTTTTTTCAGGGCTTTTTAATGGGATTTCATTGCTGGTTTTATATCTGATCAAAATCAATTTATATGCAATTCACAAAATTACAACACCAGGGATTTGCC